TTAGGGGGCTTTAAAGGGATAGTTCACTTTGAAATTAATTTTTTATATGTTTTAGCTTATACCTCAAGGGCATCCAAGATGTAGGTGTCGCGCAGTATTTTCAATTTTGATATTTTTAGGTCAAACCGTTCTTGTCTGTCAGTCATATAATGCAGGTCTATGGTCACCACCTCAAAGAGCATGCACAGAGAAGTCCAAATTAAACATGATTTAATGACTCGTAAATGTAAGTACACATTGATGGCCTAAGACACGAAACGAGCGGTTTGTGTGAGAAAACGAACAGTATTTATATCGTTTTTACCTCTTGTAAACACAGCCACGTCCAAGTGATCTGAGGTCGCGGGTGCTTCGGTCTTTTCCGGAAAGCACCGGAAGTGATCTCTCGCGCGTGTACGTCACTCATTGTTTACACAGAACAGAGATTGTAGGTAAGACGGCTAATTAAAAGGGTACTAATTTGCGCTTATCCGGGATGTTTAAACCGTCGTAAAAGAAAACAATAAAAAAAAAGTAAAAAATAAAACAATTGTATGAGTGACGCACGCGCGAGAGATCACTTCTGGCGCTTGCCGGAAAAGACCGAAGCGCCCGCGCCCTCAGATCACTTGGACGTGGCTGTGTTTACAAGAGGTAAAAACGATATAATACTTTTCGTTTTCTCACACAAACCGCTCGTTTCGTGTCTTAGGTCATCAATGTGTACTTACATTTACGAGTCATTAAATCATGTTCAATTTGGACTTCTCTGTGCATGCTCTTTGAGGTGGTGACCATAGACCTGCATTATATGACTGACAGACAAGAACGGTTTGACCTAAAAGTATAAAATATAAAATACTGTGGACACAAAGACACCTACATCTTGGATGCCCTTGAGGTAAGCTAAAACATATCAAAAATTAATTTCAAAGTGAACTATCCCTTTAACACGACACCATTTTCAACTAAAACAGAATTTATCCGTTTTGGCCATTCATTTACACGACTTATTAAAATGATACCGCAATAGTCTCAGTGTAAACTACAAAAACGCAGATTTGTGAAAACGGTGACATCAGGCGCATGTGCTAACTTCGGTCTATAGCCGCATAGCGTTTCTTTACAAAGTGACATCGCCAACTACTGGCCTGGCATGAATAATACAGCGTTTTTAGTCATTGTAGAGGAACCATCTGAATGGGGATTGTTTTGACAATGTTGTCGCTTGTACGTGAAAAACAAAAATCGATTTAGGTATATAATACATCGTTGTCATGTAACCAGTGGCAGTCCAGGCTAAAATGAGAAAAGATTCTTTCCATAAAAGTTAGATGCATTATAGTTTTTGTTTAGTGTACAAGAGGACCCGAGTTCAAATCCCAAACTAATGCACAATTATTTTTGAAATAAACAAAGCAAAACTGCAACTGAGCCAGTGATCAACATGCATTTTCAGTTTGTAAAAGGGAAGGTATGACATTTTCAACGGCAAGTGCCATTGTTTTGTCTGAAGATGCACTGGTAATGTTTTTTCTAATGCACATTTATAAAAATCTACTTAAATGTCCTAATTGAACTAAGGCCTACTCTGGACTTAATCTAAGCCCTGTCTCTGAAACCAGGCCTAAATGTCTTAGCACTCATAAGGACAGAATAGTCGTGCAAGGCAAAGGGCCTGACAAATTCTTTGATAAATGTTCTAGAGAATACAGAGATGTTAAAGAGTGATGTTTGCACAGTTAAACACTAACGTGCAAGACTCAGGACAGCTGCTTCTGTCCCATTATTAAATGGGATCAAAATGGTTTCTGTTCCCAACATGAACTTGCTGACACCGTTGTTTGTGCAGTCATGACTGGACACTTCAGTCAGACAGCTGAATCAGTGAAATGTTTCATAATTCCTACTAACCGCTGATTGGAATTGCTTCAGGTACAATTTCTGTACGTTCTCATTCATCCTTGTTTCTGCCTGGAGTGTGCGCTGATCTGGAATTCCTCACCCTTGGGAAAGAGGGGGAATTCCACACAGTAACACCCCCCCACCACACACACACACACACACACACACACAGACACACACCCTGTCTGCTGAGCTCACTTCCTGCTATAGACACAGACAACAGGAAGTAGGTAAGTGTCAGCAGGCATAATGAAGGAGTGCAATCCAGGTGAGTGGCTGCATTGACTGTCCCTTACGCTATAATGGGAAGGAGGTTTCCATAAATCAAAATACACTGTCATCATAAGCCATTATCGCCACCATGTGGTGAATGTATGAAGAGTAATTTACAAACTAAATTAGCAAAGCAACTTCAGGCTAGCATTTATAAGGAAAGATCAAAGAAAACGAAAAAGATTAATACAAATATGAACATCCAATTGGAGAGTTAATAATAGATCTCTTCATTTGAGGCAATTTGCTGATGAAGATAACTTTCTTCTTCTCTAAAGTATAATCTCTTCAAAAAGAACATGAAAAGAGAAGTGAGAGCCGTAAAATGGCAAATAATTTAGGTTGGACTTTACGGAAACAAACACGGCTGATAGCAAATGTTTGTTTAGCCCATTCCAGAGCTATCATCATAACGGCTGTGAACTGCCCGAGGTTCTAGAGTTTAGTAACCATGTTGATCAAAATGGTAAATCTCTGCTTCAGATGTTCAGAAAAGGCAGAAAAAGGAAGCAAGTGCAAAAAAAAAAAAAAAAAGAGAGAAATGCAACACCATCTGTTCAGTTGACATCTTTATTCATTCAGTTTCAGACAATGATGGGACGGAAAACAGTGTTTTTTTCAAACAAGCCAATCAGGTGACCACCTCAGGAGGAGAAACGGGCCGAGACTTTGGAGGAATGATCGCTGAGGATGAACAGAAGACATCATTTACTCCTTTTGCACTAAAATGGTGCTCGGTATGCTCTTCGTTGGCAAGTGTTACAAGATTTGAGAACATAATCCAATAGATTTACTTGAACAGAACTGCTTTTGATGCAACTGTCAGAGATTACGTAGGTCTAATAATGAATTACATTATGATCAAACAATTTACACCTATGATGTTTGTAAATAAAAATTATTTTAGAAGGACGCGGCATCAAGCAACTGTCCAATGCGATACATGAATAGGCCATCAGCCTGTGCGTTGCATTGAACACTTTCAGATTACAACGTTTTGTTGACTATAATCCGAATTATCTAGTTACTACTAAAATATAGTTTATTTTGCGTCAGTCTAGACACTTCTTGATCTGAAAACTGGGACTGAGAACATGACTCCGGCCTTTAATGTTACACCTTTAACAACACCTTACAGGTGAACTTGGTTACCTTACTCCAAAGACTGGTTAAAGGTATAGGCAACTTCACATTGTTATAATTCACAGACAAAAAGTTGATATACAGTATTTATTTAACTAAAGTTGGATTACCTCAATTTCCATCCAAGAAAGGCATGAAACCCAATCTAACACTGTAAGCGAGAAGGATGATGTGACAAAACTAGATTGCTCCCAATGTAGTCAACATCAACAAGCATCACTGAACTTGAAGTGTAGGCCATTTTGTATCATAATGGGAACAATATAGTTGTGTTGCAATGCACTGCTTGCTTGCAGCATGGTGCAAAAAAAAAAAAAAAAAAAAATGTACCAATTTTACTTGCATTCAAAGCTACACAACACACCTAATTAAAAGACATCAAGGACATTTTTTCGGTTTTCAAAAACACCTAATTTAACTAATTAAATTATTATTTAACAAATTAAAATGGTTTAGAGCAAAAATAAAAACAACTGATAGGACAAAAACAACATAACATACAGAAAGCTGGATTTCAAATCAACTAATCATCTTTGTTGTCATATTTAATGACCTAAATCATGAACTAACAATCATCTTTCTTTTTTCTTTTTTTTTTACCAGGTATAATATTCTGGCCGCACTTCTAAAGAGACATTTCATGGGAGAGTCTATAGCACTTGAGAGATAATAGTAAAGTTTAAATGTTGAAGGCCATTTGAATTGCAGCAAAGCAGAATCTTGAGGGCTGAATACTTATGAATACTGCGAGCTAGAAGGAATCTTCAATCAGAGAGAACAATCAACGTTAGCATTATTACACTTCAGCTGCCATCTTTACACAAAGAAATTAAGGGGACGATTTACAGTGATTGTGGTTTCAGATTTACGCCAGAAGCCAATTGGTTTTGGGCTGGTAGTGCAAAAAGCTATTTTACTCAAGCTAATGTTCAAGTGTTGTTGTTGTTGTTCTTTTTTCCAAATGGCCTTAAAAAAAAAAATAATAAAAACAAAAACCAGCACCAAGCAATATCAGTTTTCTATTTTCTACTTAGAGAGAGAGAGAGAGAGAGAGAGAAAGAGAGAGAAAAACATATCACGTTACATATAAAAACATATCACAAACAGGATCACATTTTATCCAAAAAGCATTGAGAAAACAAAGCATATTTTTATGACCATTAACATTTTTTTTGCATGAACATTTTCGCTTCCCAAATTGTCATTACCGTAATGTTTTTTCCATTATTCTCAACTACTTTAATATAGTATAATTCAACTCTTTTTCAACTGTTTTTTTTTTATTAAATCACCATAAATTATATTTTTTGATAGAGCCAAAGTTTTTGGCTTTATCAAAGTTTTTGGCTCTATTTTTTGATAGAGTCCATACACAAAGCTTCCATGATTTATAAATGCTTTACAATATATTTTTTTCACATTACAACCTTTTTTTTTTTTTTTTTGATAATGAGAACAGGGGAAATATTATGCTTAATTCTTGTGAAAATATCCCAATTGCAAAACAATTGTTTAGTCTAAAATAGACTTAATTTTCTTTATGCAGATTTTGATTTTGAGGTGACATGTGACCTGGACATGTTCTTGATAAGATTTCATAAGATTCACCCTGAAGTTGCATTTTAAAATTATAACTGCCTTGGCAAAACATCCCATTAAATGTTCTTCAAAAAAAAAAAAAAAAAAAAACATTGTGGACCTGACAAAAAAAAAAAAAAAAAGAATCCATGATTAAAAAAGGAAGAAAGTAAAATATAAAACATGAAGCACGATATGTATGCCATTGCTCAGGCTCGTTCTGCTCTATCCATCTAGAGAGAAGGGCAGACGGATCACGTTAAGAGGGGAAGAGGCCAGATCGCACAGCTGAAGTGCTGTTACTGGCTAACCCCAGACTTCTGCTGCACCGGGACGGGAAGGGGAGCGCAGAGCAGCCATTACTTTTTTAGTGATTGTAAAAAGTTCCAAAGGTCTTTGATCACCTGCAAGAAAACAAATGGGGGGAGAGAGAAAGAGAGAGAGAGGAGGGGGAAAAGGATGAGTTGGTGAAGCTGGAACAGAGTTTCTCTGATGTAGCGACTCATTTGGATGCTTAATAATTAGAGCTGTGTGAGTCAGTTTGGATGAAAAACTCCACATTAGCGGTGCGTCTGGGGTATAACTACAGCGCCGAGCCCAGAGGAAGGGGGTGCAGTCCTTGTACATACCAAAGGGTATGACTAGTGCCTCTCTTTGACAAAGACATGTCTCACACCTCTTTGCCTGCTGTGCTCCCAAAGCCGTTTCTGCTCGAAAACACACTCTCACACACACACACACTCCACCCGTTGTACATCTGAGAGGACACCTGCGCAGCAAAGCCTGACACGCTCCAACCTTGTTACTAGAACCGGCGCGCCGGGCGCAATGCATCAAATAGCTCATAACTCATTACCGACCAAAACACGAAAACATGTAAACTCTGTTCCAAATCCTAGTGAGCTGCCTACTTTCTAAAGGGGCTTTCGCACCGGAGGAACCTTTTCATAGTTCCTAGAACTATTGCCGGAAGTATCCGGATTTTGGCGTGTTCGCATCGCAGGAACTAGGAACGATTTTAGTTCTAGGAACTCTTTTTGGAGGAACTAATTCAGCTCCTACTTCAGAGCAGGGTCTAAACCAGCACTATAGGAACTACCAGTGACGTTAGTGTCCGCTGATTGGCCGAACGCATGCAAAACACCAGCAGCCGCCATTTTTTAAAAAGCTGTGTAAACACACTGATTATCGCCTATATATTTACTCCAGAAACTAACTCTACAATCATGGAAAACAACCTTTACGTTAAGGAGAAAATCCTTAACTTTGAGCGGACCAAGCGAAACATGATTATGTGCTCAGCTGGCAAAACTGGACATCAACCACACGGCATACGCTAATAACTTTTCATTACTGTCTGTCTACATTCTACGTATAAATAATAATAATAAAGTATTAGACGGGACTGTTAGACAGATCGTAAACGAATGAACAAGGAGAATGTGAGCATTTTGTGGCTCTGGCTGGCGTTCTCAGCGCCGCCAAAATAAAGGTCTGCCGCGCCTTCAAAATAAGTGCGCGGCTTACGTCACTTCAGAGTTCCTACTGGTGGTGCGAATGCAACCAGGAAAACGTTCCTAGGGGAACCAAAAGTTCTCGAGGAACCACCCTGGTGACTAGTTCCTAGAACTACCTGGTGCAAAAGCCCCTTAAAGACAGCATCCTAACTGAAAAGGGACCTCATAAGTGATCTGGAAGCATCTTCATAGGCAGCATAATGCTCCTCAAGGGAAGCACATAAGGGACTCGACTCAATAGAATTGATGATGCGCATAAAAATACAAAACACACAATTATTGGATAAAGTAGTCAATTTTAATAGATTTACTGACAATTTTAGGTATTTAATTAAATGTGAATTTATTTATAATCAACACTTGACACATTTGACATCTATTGGAAAAGCGGTTTCTTCTGTAGCATGTCTACAATTCAAGGTCGACCGATATATATCGCCAAGGCCAATAATATCGGCCGATATTTGCCATACGTTTTTCTGTAGGGCGGATTAGTGTCAGAAGCAGGACTTTTATTTTGACAGTGCTGAGAATCAGTGCCTGCAGACGTGCTGGAGATCCCATTCTCCATCTTCATGCGTTTACTGTCTTTATTGAACAGTTCTGTCAAACAATTAAAATGCAAACACTGTAATACTTTTCCATATACTGTTGGCATTCAGCAAATATGCAAATTTGAAACAAGTCAATATAGAATAAGCTGTTAGATCATCTTGTGTGCGTAGCCTGCATTAAAACGTATGTATTTTTTTATTATTCTATGCAAAGAATCAAAGCCGTGTGAAATGCGGACAGGATAGTTCGGCTGTCACTTGACAAACACAAGCGATTATTTAATTGGAGAAATTGTTATGCACGTGTAATTTAAATGATCTTTTTAATTAAATAGTAGTACTTGTATGACCTACAAACACATTTTTAGGGGCAATTGTTTTAAAGGGGTAATGTGTAGCTCAAACGGTAGAGCATGACACAAATATAAACCTTGAATGAAATGCAAGTTGCTTTGGATAAAAGCATCTGCCAAGTGTTCTTAAATATATCAAAAATAAGATTATATGCAAACAAAGAAAATATTAGGGTAAAATGAGATCTTTTGTACCATTGGTACCACTAACACACACACAGACTCTCACACTGACATTTGCACTCTCTCGTTAGTAATTCATCCCGAGAAAATAGGAGCTACAGCAGACATGATAGTGCACTTTACTTAAAAGAGAGATTTTTCTCGTTTGACCCAAACGTGGCCATTTGTGAGGGCTGCTTTACACTACTGCAATATTTTAGGTCAACACCCAGCCTGACACACTCGACTGCAAAAAAGCTCTAGACTAAAAGAGACAGCGAGAGAGGAATGAGTGAACGAGGGATTTAAATCACAGCTAAAGATGTCAGGCGTGACAGCTCCCTCCTGTTCTTTTGAATGCCAAGAGGTCAATCAGTACATATTTCATTTGCTGATAAAAAAAGAGAGAGCGGCAGGAAGATCTCAGTATGCCACCCCCCAACCGGCCCGAGACAGAAGATGTTAAGGCCTAAAATGTACTCAAATCTAGTATGTGAACTTAGATACGATTATTTCACATAGAGTTTTTAGCTAGCTACCTGAATAACAAGACATTTCAAGGCAACTGTATCGCTCACTTGAGGTTTGTTTCTTCACAGTAATGGTAAACTTAGTATGCCTTAAATTTCTACTTTACTTTTAATGTAAGAGGGGATACGGTCATTTGTAACTTGAATGTGCGAGGCTTTCTGTGTCATTCGCTTCCAGCTATTTCACCCGTTCAAAAACAGGCCCTTACGCTGCTTGATATTGCAAACTGGTATTTGTTATCATATCAAACACTGGCTTGTATTGCATATGGTTTTAACGTTTACAGCATTTTTGCTTCTTCAAGTTATTAATCTATAGCGGCTAATGAATCGTAAGTCTCGCACGTTCAATGAAAATGAGGTAGATTCAAATCCATAAGGTGTATATTTGAGTATGTTTCTATATCTCTCTGCAGGCTGAAGAGCGTCTCATCTTCTGAGGAGAAGAATTTGAATCTTTTAAGTGGACAGTTCTTAAATAAAGAGTGTTGATACGTTTTGTCAGGGTCATAAACGTGCATTTTATGCAACGTAAGAACGCTAGAAATACTCCCAGCCATAGGGCGACAGTGCTTGGTGAAAAAAGCAATACTCACTTGTTTATCAGAGATCTTGAAAGAGCTTCTAGCGTAGTTCTCAAACTTCTGTTCCGTCTTTGGAAGTGGCCTCCCCTGTTTCAGAGAAACATATTTTTGCAGAAATGAAATGGCCCTTTTTCATCACTTGTGTCTCTCTGCTAAGTGTTGAGCTCATCCTGACTCGGAGCCAGAGCGCTGCTGCGGTGATGAACAGGGTGAGTCGTTGGGTGTTGGACGCACTTCAGTGAACTCGCATTTTTTTGTGGCCTTCACAGTAATTCCATTTCCCCTTATCTACAGCAGACCGAATGAAATCACACGGACACAAATCATCATATCTGCTCAACACAATCCATCCGCTGTATCCTTCCAGTTTCAAACTAGATATTACTGCACAACATACTCATCATCTCGCTCTCCAGTTTCTGGAGTTTCTAAAAAGCGTGCAGCAGAGATGTCTTAAAGGAATATTACAGGTTTTTTTGTTTTGTTTTTTCAACCTGCTGTCGATAACCACATACAGTAAGTGACCCTTGCCTCAGTATATACACTACCGTTCAAAAGTTTGTGTCAGTAAGAGTATTTTGAAAATATTCATATTTTCATTCAGCAGGGATGCACTGAATTGACCAATGGTGACAACAAAGACATTCTTTTTAAAATCTATGCTGTTCTTTTGAACTTTCTATGGATTAAAGTGTTAGTTCACCCAAAAATGAAAATTATGTCATTAATTACTCACCCTCATGTCGTTCCAAGCCCGTAAGACTAGTGATCGACCGATATATCGGCCGGCCGATATATCGGGCCGATATTTGCGTTTTTTACGTGTATCGGAATCGGCCGATATGCGGCTGCTGCGTTCGCCGATAGTTTTTTCCCGGCATTATTTATAGACAGGCGTCCACAGGCAGCTCTGTGCTGCTGGAGACGCTGCAGTTCACGTGCAGACCCTGCACTGCCCCTCCCCCACTAGCAGAGTGCAACCTGCGCTTCAAGATAACGGTAACTTTTAAACTTTCAAAGCATCTTTTAACTGTTTGACTGCTGAAATATTGTCAAACACTTTGAAAATGGAAACACGTTGCTTTATAACTGTTATGTGGTTGCAACTATATAGCTAAGCAAGTTTGTGGGTCCAAATGGAAAACGCGAATGACTCGTCTATAAAACTGCTTGCTTGCCATTGTATTTAGGGAGCTGCAAATAGCTGTAGGCTATCCGTTCAGTATGCATTAGGGCTGTCAATGAATATTCTAAATACGAATATATATTCGAATAGTTTAAAAAAAACTGAATTTTGAAGGTGAAAATTAATATTCGAATGTGGAAAAACACGCCCGCGGTAGCAGACTAACGTTACCACAGCACAGCTCGCTCGGAGCGCTCAGTGTCGGTTCTATGTTCTGTGAAACTTCAATTAATGTATTTGTTTCAATCACTGAATGAAGCCTGCTATATACCTTAAATTGCTTGCACAAAACTCTTGATCAGCACTCAACATTTGTTTGTTGTTGTTCATTTAAACCGGTATGCGCGGAGAGCGTGAGGGTGAGTGCGAGAGAGAGAGAGAGTGCGCCTGCGAGTCCGGGCGAGCCAGAGTGAGCTCTGCGGTCTTGGCCATTAGTTGATTTACTCGTTTTTTTTGTAGTAATACGTTGTCAAATATGTTTAAACTCAAATAAGCTACTTAATACTATTAGTTATGTCTCTTTGTATTAATTTGTCCTGTTATTGACGTAATGCGCGTCATTGACCAAATGCACGACGATATGCTCAAGTATGTTTTTAGAGGGAATATACAAACGCCATTTGAACAATTTTGACAGCACTAGTATGCGTACGGTAGCTGTTACGAACACTGGTCATAGGATTAAGTAATACCAACGTTGTTCCGTGCTTTTTGCGACCACCTGGCTGAGGTTTGGACGCGTGTGGTGTGTGTCTCCCTCGCCATCGCAGTGATATTAGAGACTAGACATGCTCATTTTATTTTATGTAGACAAATTTAAACCATGGCAGTAAATAGTTCGTTACTTTTAAAATGAAGTACAGTGTGCACTGTGCACTTTATTATGCTGGTTGCTACTGTGTGCAATAGTGTAATTATTTTATTTATGCTTAAATATTTATTTTCAGCAGTGAACTTTTTTTTGTTCTACCTCATGTTTTTAATATTTGTTAAATATTGTTTATCTACTTGTTCTTGTTCTACCTCACATGTTTTTACTATTTGTTAAATATAGATTTTTTTACGTTAAATAAATCTTACTTTTATTAAATTGAGACCTGTAACATTTGTTAACATCATGTCATTTTTATGATGTAAATTGAGGGAGCAAAATGTATCGGCTCAAGAAAATCGGCAGCCCGTATCGGTCATCGGCTAAGGCTGATGGGGAAAAAATCGGTATCGGTATCGGCACTAAAAAATCCATATCGGTCGATCCCTACGTAAGACCTCCGTTCATCTTCGGAACACAGTTTAAGATATTTTAGATTTAGTCCGAGAGTTTTCTGTCCCTCCATTGAAAATGTATGTACGGTATACTGTCCTTGTCCAGAAAGGAAATAAAGACATCATCAAAGTAGTCCATGTGACATCAGTGGGTTAGTTAGAGTGTTTTGAAGCATCGAAAATACATTTTGGTCCAAAAATAACAAAAACTACGACTTTATTCAGCATTGTATTGTCTTCCGGTTCTGTTGTGGATCCGCGTTCAGTGCCGCCGCTGACGTAAGACGCTGCTGACGTGTGTCTGGTGTGTGTGTGTGTGTGTGTGTGTGTGTGTATTCCGGTTCTGTTGTGGATCCGCGTTCAGTGCCGCTGCTGACGTAAGACGCTGCTGACGTGTGTCTGGTGTGTGTGTGTGTGTGTGTGTGTGTGTATTCTGGTTCTGTTGTGGATCCGCGTTCAGTGCTGCTGCTGACGTAAGACGCTGCTGACGTGTGTCTGGTGTGTGTGTGTGTGTGTATTCTGGTTCTGTTGTGGATCCGCGTTCAGTGCCGCCGCTGACGTAAGACGCTGCTGACGTGTGTCTGGTGTGTGTGTGTGTGTGTGTGTGTGTGTGTATTCCGGTTCTGTTGTGGATCCGCGTTCAGTGCCGCCGCTGACGTAAGACGCTGCTGACGTGTGTCTGGTGTGTGTGTGTGTGTGTGTGTGTGTATTCTGGTTCTGTTGTGGATCCGCGTTCAGTGCCGCCGCTGACGTAAGACGCTGCTGACGTGTGTCTGGTGCGTCCGTGTATTCAGGTTCAAATAAATATGGCTGGGCAAAAAAATGCAAGTCTTCCTCTGTGTGGAAATCCTTAGACATGTTTGCGAAGATTGTTTTGTTTCCAGCGTGTGTCTCCCTCAGACTGTAAACGAAGCTCGGGCGCACCAGACACACGTCAGCAGCGTCTTACGTCAGCGGCGGCACTGAACGCGGATCCACAACAGAACCAGAACACACACACACACACCAGACACACGTCAGCAGCGTCTTACGTCAGCAGCGGCACTGAACGCGGATCCACAACAGAACCAGAACACACACACACACACACACACACACACACGTCAGCAGCGTCTTACGTCAGCAGCGGCACTGAACGCGGATCCACAACAGAACCAGAATACACACACACACACACACACACACCAGACACACGTCAGCAGCGTCTTACGTCAGCAGCGGCACTGAACGCGGATCCACAACAGAACCAGAATACACACACACACACACACACACACCAGACACACGTCAGCAGCGTCTTACGTCAGCGGCGGCACTGAACGCGGATCCACAACAGAACCAGAATACACACACACACACACACCAGACACACGTCAGCAGCGTCTTACGTCAGCGGCGGCACTGAACGCGGATCCACAACAGAACCGGAATACACACACACACACACACACACACACACACCAGACACACGTCAGCAGCGTCTTACGTCAGCGGCGGCACTGAACGCGGATCCACAACAGAACCGCAAGACAATACAATGCTGAATAAAGTCGTAGTTTTCGTTATTTTTGGACCAAAATGTATTTTCGATGCTTCAAAACACTCTAACTAACCCACTGATGTCACATGGACTACTTTGATGATATCTTTATTTCCTTTCTGGACAAGGACAGTATACCGTACATACATTTTCAATGGAGGGACAGAAAGCTCTCGGACTAAATCTAAAATATCTTAAACTGTGTTCCGAAGATGAACGGAGGTCTTACGGGCTTGGAACGACATGAGGGCGAGTCATTAATGATATCATTTTCATTTTTGGGTGCACTAACCCTTTAAAGAATCCTGAAAAAAATGTTATCACCGTTTCCACAAAAATATTAAGCAGCACAACTGTTTCCAACATTGATAATAAATCAGCATATTTTAATTATTTCTGAAGGATCATGTGATGCTGAAAATTCAAAATAGAATAGATTATTTTATATTTTATAAAATAGTTATTTTATATATTTCAAAATATTACTCATTTTACTGTATTTTTGATTACATAAATGCAGCTTTGGTGAGCATAAGAGACTTCTTTCAAAAACATTAAAATAATCTTAATGAATGTTAGTGTAAATGGAGCTAGCGAGAGAAGAGAGTTTAGCATAATTAAAAATCAAATAGTGCATTTGTTAAACATCTACTTGTACTATTGCCTGCTTGGATTCCTAGTGCTTGTACTGTTCGTTTTGACAAACTGAGGAGTGAATCATAACTATGGACTGGTACTCAATCACACATGCGTTAACGGGGGGATCATAATTATAGCATGTGACTGTCATGGTGTGTAAAAGAATCAGTATCAGTTTCAAAAACATACCGATGCCATGAGAGACTCACAATGATCAGAAGGCTCTTACGAAGCGGAGGATGTGAGAATGAAGAGGGTCAGTGGTCAGGGGTCCTGAGTGAATGAGAGGAAATGAGCAGGTGGACTCAGAAAGGCTGGATAATCCCGATATGCTGATGTCATATAGCTGGTCATTCCCCCTCCGGCCTTCAACTCAGACGCCTCATTAACATCTGACCATCTCATCATCTGCTAAGTCAGCGTACTTACTGTTAACACACGGCATGTGTGCGTGTTTGTATGCATGTCAGGGCTAAAGTATGCGTGTGATTACGGAAAAGAAATGCATCCACAGTTAACAGAGAGACACATTTTAACGTGGAAGGGAATATGAGGAGTGTTCGTACCTCTTTAGATGCTGATGTAAGTTTGTCTTTGACCTCACTAAGGCTGGGAGTGCTGGGACTCTTCCCAGAAGGCCCTGCTGGAGACTTGTCTTTTACTTTCTGTGGTGTCTGTAAATGAGAAATATGCAAATCCTGTTAATCTAGACAAGTTTCAAACACACAGCACACAAGTGTCACACATCTCATGCTAGATATTGACAACAAAAGGCATCCATAAATAACATACACCAACAGCTCCTTGACTCGTCCTGTTAACCATTAGTCTAGTCTGGCCCACAGACCTCTGCACTAATGACAGCACCCTTTGACAAATTTAGAGGGGTACAAATGATCCTTTTATTGCTTCCATGCAGGAGAGAACAAGCCCAAAGCTCTTAGATGTGGCGGTGGGACGGCCTCTCTGCCAAGAGGAGGAATAAACCATTTGTTTTCAGTGACAAGACCCTTATTTCCAACACCTTCGTGTTATATAGCAACTTAACAACTTAATGTATCAGTATCACACAATTTATTTTATTATATATTAATGCTATATTGTATTATATAGTAATAATATATTAATGTCCTTTAATACAATAAACAGGGATGCAGCAAGGTTTTCTCAAAACTAACATCACATTTCAGCCATTTTTGCAATTTGTTGACATTTTTGTAAGAAGCTGGTTTCAGAGCTTCCAAAGCACTATATAATGACAATGTATCTATATATCACTATCAATCACCTTATATATATATATATATATATATATATATATATATATATCACATTTATTGTCCGAGAACAAAGTTCACTAACCGAACCCCCACTTTATTTATTTATTTATGTATTGTTCATTTCAGTTACATATTTACTTTTGTTTATTCTTTTTTTATATATTCCTTTTTTATATACATTTTTTTCTCTTTCCCTTCATTTTTCTACCTTCTTTATTCTCAGACTTTTGGCTTATATTTATCTACTGTATAATAAGGTACACGACAGATAGAGAGGTACACATGCACAACTTCACACCAACACACACTTCTCATAATCACATGTAAAACCAAACTTTGTTGTTTTGATGTTTCAGACTTGTTTTGTATTTACAATGTTGTCTCACTATGTCTGACATAGTTTAAAAGAATTCAGGTCTTCTCGGATCCTGAAAAAATGGCTACAGTGCATATTTCTCAGTGGAATCATAATGGCAAAGATGGAATCATAAAAAGGTTCAGGTTTCGGACAGAGTTGATGTATGAAGTCAAGTACACACAGGTGCTCGGATGGCTCACACAGTCTGTGTTGATGCTTTAATGGTAAAATGTTTTACGTGCTCACTGATGCTCTGTCATAGTATAGAAGGTCTGAGATATTGTGAGGGCAAATGTCTGTATTATTACAACTTCCTAAAGAATCTGGTGTCCACCCTCTAAAAGAGCGGGTCTGTGTCTGCTCATGGGGCACAGGTGTGTGTCCAGCTTTCAGCAGAAAGATACTGTCCCTCTGCAGACTGATGTAAGCACACACACACACACACACACACACACAGTGGCCTGTCCATGCATGTAGCCCAGCCAAGAATCCACACTGATTGCAGGGTTACATTGATGGACAGAGCCTTGTTTTTCACAGCGAGCGAGCGAGAGAGAGGTAGTAATAGAGGGAAGAAATGGAGATGGAAAGCATGAAGACTTCTAACATATGGGATTAAATGAATGCTTCAAATGACCTCAGAGCATTTTAAAGCGAACCCAACAGAGACCATCGTGGAAGGAATGCTAAAAATGGATACTGAATTCAGTGTTGTTAAAACTAAATCTATAAAAAAAAAAATTTGAATTGAAATAAAGATATTCAATGAACAAATTAAACTTAAAAAAACAACAACACTTCAATGAAAATGAGATATGTTGATATCTTGGCACCTAGATGAAATAAAGTAAGTTGAAGTACTAAAAAAGTACTATTAAGGTAAACAACCCTCAAGAATACTCCAGAACTTTTGGTTGTGGAAGATGAAAGTGGAAAGTGAGAGAGGAACATAAAGTAAAGGACAATGTCTTCCAGTCTTGCTTTGTAAGAACAAAATAAATAATCCCCTTTTCCTCTGTAGCGATTGACGAGCATGCGATAGATCAAAAGGTATCAGATTAAAGGACAAATGCACTCACACACACACACACACACACACACAGGACTGGCAGAGGGCCAGAGAGGCCCGGTGTGGTGCAGTCATTATATAGCAGGGCGTTTTTGTGTGTTGGGAAAGGACAGCTGTAGAGTTAAGACAGCTGACAGACAGAGAGTGCAGCGAGCTTTTTAATCTACGCCAGACACTGATTACAGATGCCAGGGGACGGCACTTAATCATTAGCACGCTAGTATTTGATGTAATCAGCTGTCCTCAATACACACACACACACACACGTGTGATCAAGCACATAACTTCAAAACTTTACTGACCTTTAACAATCAGGGACATTATGAAGGATCTTGTGCATTGTTCACCACTCTTTTACACTAATGTAGTTTTTATGTATGTTATGACAGGTAACCGTCTCTGCTGCCCAATAGGAATCGACTTTACAAGCGTTCATATAGCAGTCATCTCAACCTCTTCTCTGCGCCCATTGTCAAAACTTCTAACGTACTCTGCCACACGTATAACAAGAGACTCACAAAACTTGTCTCGTATTTTTCACTCAGCAACTATTTATAATGATTATATTTTATGTAAATATGGTAGCGGTCAAACTTTTGAGGTCGGTAGATCTGCATTTATTTGATCGAAAATACAGTAATATTGTGAAATATTGCAATTTAAAATAACTGTTTTTTATTTTAATATATTGTAAAATGTCATTTTTGTGATGCAAAGCGTCAGTGTCACATGATCCTTCAGAAATCCTTCTGATATGCTGATTTACAGCTCAAGAAACATTTCATTATCATGTTGAAAACTGCTTAAGATTTTTGTGGATTTTTTTGTTTCGGGATTCTTTGATGAATAGAAAGTTCAAAAGAACAGCATTTATTTGAAATACTATTTCTGTTACACTAGAAATGTCTTTACTGTCACTTTGGGTAATTGAATGTGTACTTGCTGAATGAAAGTATTAAATTCCTAGGGTGGCGTAAAGATTCAGCGTTAAATAAATTTGCCTATAAAAATAAGCTATCACCTGTCCAATTTTCACTCAAGTCTCAAGTCAGTAGAAATGCAGGTGAGTACACAGATCATTATCTGGAAAAGAGGTAATCAAGTGACCAACCACAATTCACTTTTTTTACACAACAGCTGGGCGAATCTCAAATCAGTCAAAGTGGATTATACAACAGTGCAAAAGGATAAAATTGCCAAAAAATCAGCCAATCAGATTGGAGACTGAGATTTTGAGTAAGCTTTCACCAAAAGATGGTCAATGAACAGTCTGTGTTGTGGCTGAGGTTGACTAGTAACAAAACTAAACCAACTGGATGGACATTCTTGTATACTTTATGACAGCCATTCACAGATGAAAGCATCTTACAGTTATGTCCCGTACTATTGTACTAAACTTGTTTCCACACGCAAATACAGTCTTATGAAGCATTCCACAACTGTTCGAGCGTGTCATTGTGAAATGCAAGCGATTTCTCTTCATGCATTCATACAGATATACAGCACTCCGTTGGGAGAATGTAATGAGCCAGCCACGCTTTAATGACAGAGCACTCGGTTTCCGCTCGCCTCATGGCCTGCAGGGACGCCCAGCAGCTCCAAGCCCTAATGATTTCTAATGGCAGAGGAGTGGCAACCGGAAACAAGGGTGTGGAGAACGACGGGTAGGAGTGGCCGACCGGAAGCAGAAGTGCAAAGAAGTGCCAGAGTTTGAGAAAGATGGGAGGATGTCTGCTTGACTATCTAATCTCGTAAGGTGTTTTAACAACCACCGTCTTGCACCAGAACGTAGCCATTATGGAATTAGCCAAAAGTGGGTGCGCGCGCACACACACACACACACACACAGCCCCCTGGGTGTTTCTATAACAGTAGGTAATTAGTGCTCCTCACGTCAGGCATCTAAGATGCTAATAACATGCTTACAGAGTCTTACATTGTTAGGTCAAGTGAACTGCCAGCGGGAGCGATGGGAAACTCATTTAGACATTATGTGGGTGCTTACGTGTTTAAGGTGGTCCGGGTTTGAATGCCAAAACCAAAGGTCACCCTGAAAAGGTATATAAACCTGTCCTGAGGGTGTGTGTTCCAGGGGTCAGATGTCAGACAAATTTAGTGGTGAAAGTTCAGTATTGCTTTTGTTAGTCACCTGTCTTTCTTGTCACCCGCAGAAATCGCACAACTTGCCCTCTTAGGTAATTGGTCATTGGGTATGTGAAAATCACTTTGGGATGTTTGAAAGGCAAAGCTTGATGGACATTTACGAGCATATTTCAATCTGGTATTTCCTCGAGCACTCAATAGAGCGTTACAGTGACCGCCCACTTTTTAATTGTTCCTGGTTCAGGATTTTTTTTTTTTCACCAGTCATTTTCTCCATTCAGGCATTTGAAAAGCTCTGTGATGAATTAGTGGGCTGGGTAAAAAATACTCATTTTTTACGAACCGATATCGATTCTTAAATCTCAAGAATCGATTAGTCATCCTGTTTTAATGTGATGAATGAATGGAACATTGTAGCGCGCATCCCATCCAATAAATCGCAATAATCTTAGAGCTTTGTTACTATTGATACTAAATAAAGTCTCAAATTTCAAATTACGTCCATTTTCTTACGAAATTCAAAAACATAAATACCGTTTTGGCGCTGTGGCGTGAGATCGCTCTGGCTCAGCTCAGCTCAAGAGAAGCAGCAGCGCGGAGCGCACATGATCTCCTCTTCCGCCTTAATAATACCAGTTACAGCGCGAAATAAACATGAATGAACGTCTGAAATTGTGTTAAAAGATAGAGTACAACTTATCGAAATCCATATCATGTCACATGGAATCGCTCAATCAGTGTTTCAACCGTGGAAAGACGTCAGTAAAACAACTTGTAAACAATGTCATGTAACGTCACATTTACCTCAGAAAAACCATATGTGACCATAAACTCGTTAGTCAGCTAGAAAAATTAACTCTAAAGAGGAGCATTTTGCTAAATATATGCACCATATTACATATTCATTATAATTTTTAATGTTCTTCGATATTTAATGCATGTTTGAATAAATCTGGCAAGTTTTTATGACAGCCACCATTTAAATGTTTATATTTCATATAACTTTATTATTATAAAAATAAATAAAAGTGTAATTTAAGTGTTTGTATAGCTACAAATCAGTTCATTTTTACCTTCAATATTATAGTAGGCTAATGAAGCCTAATAGGCTACAACTGACTCCCATAGTTTACAGCATTAGTTAAGATTTTTGTTTTCCTTGAGAAAATTTGCCATGTATTGATGATATCCAAAATTGAATCGAAATCGAATCGAAATCGAATCGAATTGTGAAATTTGTGTCAATACCCAGTCCTTAGTCTAAACAAAACAAAAAATTAATTAAAACGTATTGATTTATTGACTTTATTTATTATTTGTTTATTGCATATGTAATGGCCTTTGCTTTCGCAAGAGAGAAAATGTATGGAGAAAATGAATGATATTTTTACTTCCCAATGGTTGTGCTCAACTTCTCTCTCAAGTTCTCTTCTCTCTCTGTGCATGTCTTTGAAGAACTCTCACTGTGTGTGTCGTTCCTGTTCCTGTGTCTTTCTGATTCAGCACCACAATTATGGTGAAAAAATCGACATCAAAGAAAATTGAACCCCACATCCACCGGTCAAAGGAGGAACATTGGTGATTAGAAGAAAGTCTGGTGAATGCATTTCAGATTCCCAACATCGGTCACCCTGCCAGAAGGCCGTGGCTTTTGAGAGTAGTTTGTTGTTTTAAAGCAGACCACAAATGACCCTTCAAATTGGACGTTTTGGGATTGTTGCCACCAGCAGCTAGTTAAGTGCGCTTCACCATTTCCTTGCATGGGAAAATAAGATGTCCCTTTTCCATGACCTAAAAAGAAAACCTTTAAATGTCAAGAAGTTTTTCTCTAATGCGCTCGATTATTAAAAGTGTATTAAGTGCATTCACTCCAAAAAAAGACACTGAAATAATGGCTTTGGGATCGTCGTGTCCTCTCAAGACTGGGCGGCTTTCAGCTAATCACAGCTGGAGTTTTGAATGCTGTTGCACACATTTATCTTTAGGGGTACTGCTGGTCTAATTCACATTTAGCTTTTGGCGGTGTTGGTTGATCGTAAACAAAGACAGGCCGTCTCATTATCCCGTGGTTTTCTCTGTGAGGCTGCCATGTCGTCGGCGTTCTGAACTGCACCTGGACGTTTGGTAAGAATTACCTCTGGCATCCAACGGTAGACCTTGGCTTTTGGTTGGCACGGCTTGGCAATTTGGTAATGGGATGTGAACTGGATACCAAAACCTGAAACCCAGACGGCTCCTGACCCAAAGGAACTTATCCTAAAGTAGATCCTAAAGACTATACTGTATGACCGTAGAAATGACTTTGAATCAAACTTCACTGTATTGGGATATTATACCATTACCATGAAATAAAATGACTCGTAGCATTATTGATTTGAACATTTTAGTCATACCACCCATATATATCCAGCAGTGTTGCTTACTGTTTTACAAAGTAAATAACTTGCCTGGGTTTGGGGCTTCCCTGATGTCCCCGCTTTCTTGTCTGAAGAGCCGTTCTGCTTATCTGCACTTTTCTTCTTCTCTGGGGTCTGGGAAAATGACAGAGAGAAAAATCCCAGGTTAAATTATTTAGCACGTGTCAAAGACAGAGCTGCTCCAGTCACCTGTCATGCTCAGCGTTAGAATCATAACAGCGGATAATGTTTGTGAATTGAGTGATTCTGACGGCTTTGTTCTTCGGTGATGTAACACTATACGCTTCTCGGATGTTTTTTTCAGTCAGGCTGTCAGAGAGCCGTGATGAAAGAGAGCAGTAATTTGTAGAAAACGTAGCCTGTTTAGTCACGGCCTGAAGGGACCACAGGACACCGTCATAGCTCTATAACTCTATACATTGGGAGAAAATAAAGATGAGCAAACGAAATCTGGATGGGAGAGTTTACACTTTCCATGAACCCTTTATGTATCATTGTGCCTTATTAACGATTTTAATAATGCAAATTGTCTTATAACTAGTTATATGGTTATAATTATTTACAAGAACAAAGTTAGTACATTATAAAACCTATACATAGTATAGTACAGTCTAGTATATACCTATTCATTCAAATGCATTACACTCTTTAAAGGTGCAAACATGAATAAGCATGCATTATCTTTAGAAAAAGATGTATCATCCCACTTTTCTCGTTTATAATGTGTAATTTGAATAGTGCTTTATATACAGAGTTCATTGGAAGTGTTTGGGCCTGATGGGACAGAGGTAGAGAGAGAGAGAGTGTGAGAGGAGAAAAGCATTCAGGACGGAGGGATCAGAGGAGATGTGGAGTGTGTGACAGAAGTGCTCGTCTGTCGTTCCCCCTCAGGGCAGGAATCAGTCCTCACACAGCAGGTATGTACCCGCTTTGATCTCTAAACACACGTACAAAAACACACTGTCACGCTCTCTCAAACATTTAAATACACAGCAGGGTTATTGGGTTTTAGTAGGGTTGTCCCGTTCAGTTTACTTCCCGAGGTGCATAAATTGTTTCAAATGTGATTTTCACTACATTACCATTCAAAAGCTTAGATTCGGAAAGATTTCTTAATGTTTTTTTTAAGTCTCTTATACTCTCCAAGGCTGCATTTATTTGATCAATAATACAGTAAAAACAGTATTATTGTAAACAAATATTATACCCGTTTACTTTTGTAATTACTTTGAAATGTAATTTATTCCTGTGATGCAAAGCTGAATTTTCAGCATCATTACTCCAGTCTTCAGTGTCACATGATCCTTCAGAAATCATTCGAATATGCTGATTTGCTGCTCAAGAAACATTTCTGATTATTATCAATGTTGAAAACAGTTGTGCTGCTTAATAATTTTGTGGAAACCATGATTTATTTGAAATAGAAATCTTTTTTAACATCATAAATGTCTTTACTGTCAGTTTTGATCAATTTAATGCATCCTTGCTTTCTTATTCATATTCATTCTGATCTAAACTTTTGAATGGTAGTGTATATCTATAAAATGATTGCTTTTAGATAAAAATGGACATTAATAGCAAGATGAGGCACATCAAACCTGAGTTAACAAAGAACGTTTGTACCGAGCATTGAGAGGCCGCTGAACCGGATCTAAACCAGGTTGGATTTATCTGGATTTGTCAACTTTAAACCTACTCTGAAACTCAGAGTTTGTTCAGCTAGCTTTGTGGAACAGGCCACTGGATAACTTAGATACAATAACTTAGTATTTAGTTTTTGTCCATTTAGTACAGGTTTTTTGTTGCTTTTTTTCTAATCAAATTATTTAAAGCATTTTTAACTGACAGTTTCTGTAATTTCTTTATATCAGATTCTTCAAAGTAGATAAAGAGCCACATGCAGTCATCAACACATGTTAAAGAGAACGAGAGCAAGTGATGGGTAGAGAGGTGAAGTCATACTGTCTGTGAAGCTTCCTAGTACACATGTGATCATTATGCTCCAGACAGATGAAAACAGACAGGCAAGTGAAGGACGCAAACAAGGCATGATAAAGACGGCACAAGACACTGAGCTTTTATAAATGTGACGTGAGAGGAGAAGAAGAATATTTGTTACATGAAGAGACAGACAGAATGTAAAGTGCTCTATAAACTGATGGAGTAATAACAGGTGGTGATGAATGTGTGATGATGAGGGTAACCCCTTCCTCTCCCTCTCCCTCTCCCTCTCCCTCTCCCTCTCCCTCTCCCTCTCCCCTCCCTCTCCCTCTCCCCCTCCCCTCCCTCTCCCTCTCCCCCTCCCCCTCCCCCTCCCCTCCCTCTCCCTCTCCCTCTCCCTCTCTCTCTGGCAGAGACTGGCACCTGCTGGTCAATTTGTTGTTCATGTGAATTCATTCAGGGCAGCAGTGGTAACAAGCAGCAATATAACATACAAAACTGTTCAAAAGTGTGGGGTCAGTAAGATATTTTAATTTATTTATACTAAGACACACTAAATTGATCAAAAGCCATTTATAATGTTACTTGTAAAGAAAGGCAAATAAATGTTGTTCTTTTGAAATGTCTATTTATCACAGAATTCTGAAATACTAATTAGGCAACACAACTGTTTTTAACATTGATAATAATAAGAAATGTTTCTTGAGCAGCAAATCAGCATTTTATAATGATTTCTGAGGGATCATGTGACACTAAAGACTGGAGTAAAGATGCTGGAAATTCTGCTTTGAACTAAATTACATTTTAAGCAATATTAAAATAGAAAAACATTATTTGAAATTGTAATAATATTTTACAATATTATTGTATTTACTGTTTCTTTGATCAAATAATAATAAGTGATTTAAAAAATATTAAAAACCTTACAGACCCAAAACTTTTGAAAGGTCATGTAATACACATCATTTTCTCTTTCCTGATTCTATGAACAGCAAGAAACAGCAAGACTCACTTTTTGAGGGGTTTTGATGAGGCTCTTTACAACAGTCTTTTCTTCTTTGTCGTCATCCCTGAAAAGGAAAAGACGTTTCTTTAACTTTTATCAACGAATAAAAATAAAAATGATCCCTCTCAAAGTGAAATATTATTCACTGAGAGTATAAAAAACTTTCAACAAAACATAAGTTATAACTGAGTTCTCACTCTTCATCATCATCATCATCATCGTCATCATCATCATCTTCCTCGCTGTCCTCATCTTCATCTGAGTCCATTTTCAGCTTTTTCTAAAAAGACAGAACACCAACATTGGAAAAAGAAAAAAACGTTTTTTATAAAGTTAAGCGTTCTGGTACTAAAATATATTTGGAAGAGAGTGGCGAGCTGCTGGAGGCAAGAATAACCAAACTATATTATTTTTTTTAATATATTAACGGTAAAGTATGAAATATTTTTATGTTAAAGGGATAGTTCACTTCAAAATGAAAATTCTGTCATCATACACTCACCCACAAGTTGTTTCAAACCTGTATGAATTTCTTTCTTCTGCTGAACACAAAGGAAGATACTTTGAAGAATGTCAGTAACCAAACAGTTAACTGCACCCATTAACTTCTAAAGTATTTTTTTTCAATACTATGGAAATCATTGGGTCCAGTTAACCGTTCGGTTACTGACATTCTTCAAAATATCTTTCTTTGTGTTCAGCAGAAGAAAGAAATTCATACAGTTCATGAGTATATTTTTATTTTGAAGTGAATTATCCCTTTAAAATACATTCTCTTCACCCAATTTATTGTTCACTGACTACTATCAGTATGCCATCCGTGGGTTTCTCTCCCCCAAAAGTGAAACACTGAGCCCCCAGGCACCATCAAAACATTAAGAGTGGCCCTCTCAGATCCGTCAATCTCTTTCCAGCTCAACCTATAGCGAGAGTTTGGGGCGTGGCTTCTGTAGCAGGCGGAGCCAGAGGGACCATGGTTGACGCATTATATGGGAAAAGACATTCAGCTTTGCGTAAAGGAGTGCAAGCCAAATTTCACAAAGGTTAAACAGGTCATGCACACGTCAAAGCGAACGGGATGTAGCGATACTACATGCTACAATGGACGCTTCAATAAAACATCATCATGCACCCATTCAGATAGACAAATGTTCTAGTTTATATTGTTTACTTTGACGTGTCCAGTGTAGACAGACTCAAACATCTGTGGCGCGTCATGTCAAAAAATGGGATGGGTTTATTATAAGCGAGACCATCACGTTCGCTCTTGACAGAGTGTTAGCCTACTCAATTGCTTCCTCATGACACATAGCAACACAGCTAAAAGTATTTGAACCTTTTATTGAAAGTAGCCTACTTTTAACTGTTGAGACATGCCTCGACAAGCACCCGTAAGAGCGACTACTCACGCGGGACGAGCTAAAGTTTGCAAAATATGCTTTATTTTTGTAATTCCGCAAAGGGCCACTAGTGTCACAGAAACTACATACTTCACCTTTAATCCATTAATTTGTGACTTATCTTGCAGTTGTCAGCATTTTATAAAACCAAAAAGCCATTAAAGGCTGTGCATTACAGTACTTGCATTGTGAGTAAATCACAACAACACTCCTAAACCCTAGTAAAATCACTATAAGTGACAGCCTCTCATGGCTTATTGCTTCAGTAAGAATTCTGGGATCATTTCAACACTCTGACAAAAGATTTCAAACAGGCTCTCTGAGTATCACAGTGATGGCAAGCTGTTGCTTGTCTCAGACACTTATCTAGAGGATTAAGTGTGTATTGAACAATGTGTCTCTTTATTGAGACTCCGTGAAAGTCAACATGGCAACCTCACAGTTTTCTGGACACTAGTTAAACCCTTTTCATTTCTTATGAACAAAAGAGAGAAAGTGCCTGTTTCCGTGATAAATACATTGCAAAAAATTTCTTACTCAGTATTTTTGTCTTTTTTTTCCCAGTAAAAATATATAAAGATACATTTGCTTGAGAAACAAAGTGACTTAAGATATTAAGTCCTGTGTTCTGAAAAATGCATCAAAATTTAGCGACTTTATGCTTAACTAGAAAACAAGTCAGTGGGGTAAAAAAAAACTAATTTTGAGAATAAAAACAAAAGAATAAAAAATATTGACAATATTATTATTCTATTATTATAAATTCACAGAATTCTGATCTTTTTTTGAGAAAGCAAGACTTAATATATTTTATATATATATATATATATTTATTTATTTTTTTGCAGTGAAAAGATATCTAACTATTGAACAAAAGAAAGAAAGTGCCTGTTTCTGTGATAAATACATTGCAAAAAATTTATTACTCAGTATGTTTGTCTTTTTTTTTCAGTACAAATATCTAAACAGTCTTAAATCAAGATACATTCACTTGAGAAACAAAGTAACTTAAGATATTAAGTGCTGTGTTCTGAAAAATGTATCAAAATTAAGCGACTTAAAGAAAAAAAATAATTATGAGGTAAAACAAGATTATTATTCTTAAATTTTTATATTTCATATATTTAGTATATTAATAATAATATATAGTATTATAATTACTATTATAACAATATACTAATAATATAGACCCCACAGGCCGATATTTTTCCTTGTTTTAAGTATAAATTCACCTAATTCTGATCTTCTTTTTTTTTGAGAAAGCAAGACTTAATATCTTCTGTCATTTTTCTTTTTTTCTTTCAAGTAAATGTATGTTTATTTAAGAAAGTTTAGATATTTGTAATGGAAAAAAGACAAAAATACTAAGTAAGAAAATCTTTTTTATTTTATTCTTTTGCAGTGAAAAGATATCTAACTATTTATATCTTAGGGGAGTTTAATGCATAGAGGGGCCAAATTCTGCACACTGTATATGTACCATTTAATATTTAAATAAAGTCCACTTATTTTACATCACATTTAATGTTGGGACAGTCATAATTTAGTAGTTTTAATTAATTAATTGTAAAGTGAGATTAAAAACAAAATCACCTGAGGCACTTTTGCGAGGGTCATGTTGGACGGTCTCTTCACCGGTGATGTGTTATTCTCCTCCTCTTCCTCATCCTCATCATCTGATTCCTTTACACCTGGAAAAAAAAAACACAGTGATCTCCAAACATCAATAACTATGGTTTAAATAAATACAATACAGCTTCACAGTCGAGGTTCATATGACAAAACCAGTCTGACATATGCAAGTGCTGCACTTGTTTAATATCCGGAGAAGCTGAAACTGTCTGAAAGGCTGTGAAAACATATGGAAGCGATTATATCCACGCAAATGGCGTCAACATGGTGCTGGTTAATTCATTCTGAGTCCGTATGGAGAGTGCAGGGCCCTTTAGGACGGCTGGATTAGTCCCATGGACATCACCACAGGTACAGAGAAACATTCCATCAGAGAGAAGAGTAAACAACAGAGGCAAAAGACACACTTGGGAAATGCTCTTTCTGAACTCTCTGTTTTGAGTAGTCATGTTCAGTCCTAACAAATGTGGAAAGACAAAAAAGGTACTCACTGACGAAATGCTGACCGCTGATGTAGACCGGACCCCCTCCGGACCGCAGGCGAAAGGACACAGGAGGAGTGACCTCAAAACCTCCCAGACTTAGCTAGAGGGAACATACGGACACACATGTAGTTATCCAAACTGAGCGGAGAATGATCCCTTCAACAAACTCAACACTAGCAAAAAGTTTGAATTATGATCTACTTTTAGAACACACACACACACACACACTCCACAGCTTATTAAATAAACATCTAAGACTTAAACTTACCACATCAAAGCTCTTTTCCAAAACCTAGTGAGCTACCTTGCTTTCTACTACCTACACTACCGTTCAACAGCCTGTGGTCAGTAAGAATATTTTTTTTAATAAATTAATCCTTTAGTCAGCAAGGGCAAGAAAGCATTAAATCGATCAAAAGTGACAGAAAAAAAACATATACAATTCAATTCAAATGTATGTATAATGTAACAAAAGACTGACATTTTGAACTAAATGCTGTTCTTTTGAACTTTCTATTCATCAAAGAATTCTGAAAAAATATTAGCAGTTTCCACCAAAAATATTAAGCAGCACAACTGTTTTCAACAACTGTTTTCAACATAGACATATAAGAAATAAGAAATAAATAATAATAAGAAATTATTCTTGAGCAGCAGATCAGCATTTAAGGGGGTGTTCACATTTCTAGTTCGGTTCTCTTGGTCCAAAGACCAAAAAATAGAAAATGACGCTGGTTTGCTTAGTGTTCACACTGTCATGTTTAACACCAAACCTACAGATACTAAACAAAAACCAGCTTTTATGACAAAACGTCTAAAACAAAGCTGTGCGTGCTGGGCTACATGCGCTCGTTGTATGTGCGTACATATGGTGGTATTTTAACCAGCTGAGAACTCACGAAGAGCATACAAAAGTGTAGGAGTCAAAACAGCACCTGAAATATCTCCGTCACACACACAAATGAAGATCTGCTGCGAGGAGACGGCAGTTCCGATACCTTTAACGAACTGAAATGGGCAACATAGAGCCTATGATGAGAAGAACCAGGTATGCTGGAGCATTTTGTCCTTTTTAGGGTCGCATCTTGTGACATCACATCCTGTTTTTGGTTCGTTCAGATGTCTTTGGTCTATGTTTCATGCATATTTCAGTTGAACCACACCAGAGTTCATTTGGAAATGGACCCTAAAAAAGTGGGTCTTGGTTCACTTGACAGGTGTGCACCAGGGTTCGCACCGCAGCGTTTACATCCATTCAAATAATCCCACCAGGGTTTGTTTTAATCGAACCGAACATGCCATGTGTGAACACACCCTTAGAATGATTTCTGAAGGATCACATGACACTGAAGAATCACGTGACACCGAAGACTGGAGTAATGATGCTGAAATTAAATGTAATATAACTCCGACTGTGTTTGGCTGAAAGAAGAAAGTCATATAGACCAAGGATGGCTTGAGGGGGGAGTAAATTATGGGATCATTTTTAATTTTTGGATGAACTAACCCTTTAAAACATGCAAGGCTACTTGTTGTTAATCTGGCAATTTTGTGCAAAATCAGATTATTAATGATTCCCACCACAAACAACCAAACAAAATTTGTTTCCCAGAAAGAATTCACGACTGGGAGCCATCCTGATCATTCCATGCCAGTACATCTAAGACAGGCCTAAAGCTAAATATCAGTACACAATTGCACAACTCGCGAAATACAAGCCACGGCCAACAATTCTGAATGAACATTCCACGGCACCAGGCAACGGCACTTGCATCGATGGCAACCAGATGTAAACAGCTGAGGGCGCGATGGTCTGCTTAATGCTTTAAATGACAGCTATTTAACTGTTGTAATTACGCTGAATGGCGAACAATCCCTCACGTCCAAAATCATCTCAGATGATCTGTTTCAACATAAACGCTGACTGATGAGTTGATTGTCTCCCGAGCAATCAAGACAAAACCTTGTAATTGAGGTACAATTATCGCTTGACTCTTTTTTGAGTCAGATATCCTGGGGCGTTTTCTAATTTTGGGGATTGAATAAACTGAATACATTCCACGATCTTACAGACTGGGTCAAAATTACACACACACACACACAAAAGAAAAGGGCTTACAAACATGGAGAAAAAAGCAGCTACGCTCTAAACTCGATGACCACAAGGTGTGAAGAAGGTCAAAACGCCAACATTAAAATTCCAGCCACTGTGATAGCCAGTAATCATACCACCAAGTTGGTATTTATCTGAACACAAATAGAGTTGCAAATTCTGATCGCACTGAGCCATAAAACATAGATTCCTCCCAGTTCTTTGGAAATGCTCATGTTTTCCATAGCTGATATAAAACAGAGGCGAATGTGTGCTGATGTCATGGAGAGCTTGTGTCTGCTGTCCTGATGATGCAACAATGGCCCAGCCCCTTCCATAAACAATCTGTCAATCACAACTTGACCAGCCTCGGCACAGCTGGAATTTTTATTAGACACATTCTTCCAATACCATAAAACACCCATTACAGGCATCCCTCCACAGTATAAATCCACATTCAAAGTGTTATTGAGGGCATAACAACACTTGGCTGTTCCAGTACAACTTTAGAATAAGGTCCCATTTTAGTTAACGCTAGTCAATGCATTTACTACACATTTGTTACAGTATGTGTTCATCTTTGATAATATTAGTAAATAAAAACACAACTGTTCATTGTTAGTTCATGTTAGCGTAGGTCCATTAAATAATATTAACAGATACAACTTTTATAATGATAGATAGATAGATAGATAGATGATAGATAGATGATAGATGGATGGGTGGATGGATGGATGGATGGATGGATGTAGATAGATAGATAGATAGATAGATAGATAGATAGATAGATAGATAGATAGATAGATAGATAGATAGATAGATAGATAGATAGATAGATAGATAGATAGATAGATAGATAGATAGATGGATAGATGGATGGATGGATGGATAGATGGATGGATGGATGGATGGATGGATGGATGGATGGATGGATGGATGGATGGAGATAGATGGATGTAGATAGATAGATAGATAGATAGATAGATAGATAGATAGATAGATAGATAGATAGATAGATAGATAGATAGATAGATAGATAGATAGATAGATAGATAGATAGATAGATAGATAGACAGACAGACCTTTGGAATGTAATAATGTGTATTAGTAAATGTCAAAATAAACATTAACTAAGATTAATACATGTTTTAGAAGTATTTTTCATTGTTAGTTCATCTTAATTAATAGTTAATTTATGTTAACAAATGAAATCTTATTGTACAGTGTTACCGCATTTCCTATTTGTTTTACAAAATGAATTATAGTAAACTTGTAATATCACCTGCAATATTATCATTTCTCTGCCAAATAATTTGATTTTGTTTTTTGACCACAAAAGTGTTTTGAAGTAAAAGTCTCTCAATTTAAGGAACCTTTGGTTTCACTTTATTTAAAGGTTTCCTTGTAATTAAAAATTAAAGGGATAGTTCACCCAAAAATTAAAATTTAAAGGACACTACACATTACAGTGTTACTGAAGCTTTCTTACATTGGAATCAACAAAAAACAATCACTGAATTAATAACAGTATCCAAACTGCAGTAGAATAACTTTTGGATGATACATTCAGGACTACATAAATGACTACAAATAGAGGTTTATGTTCATGACATAAAACTCTATAGAAATGGAGCCTAGCACACTTACAGAAGGCAGAACGGATGGCTTCAGGACAGCGAGAGTGATTTTGGTCGTTTTGCCATCGTAAGTCAATCCCTCCATCTCCACGGTGTGGAATTTATCCTCCGCCTCTGCACCCAAACACACCTGAGAACACAGGTGAAGATGTGCACGTGAGAGAGGAAACTGCTTTGTTCATGTGAGATTACAGGCAATTTAAATAACGCATCCATAATACGGATCACTTGCACAACGATGATGAATACTGACAACAAAATTCCCATTAGATCTAGTCCAAGCGGATAATTCAACAGATACAATAATATTATAGAACTGTATGCAATGTTATAGAACAGAATGACATAAAACAGAATGTGATCAGACCAGAATAGAATGTTTTAGAATAGAATAGAATTCAGAGTTAAATAAACCAACTCACTGCACCTGCTGATTTCACATAATCATGCATTTTTACAGGAGTTAAGATTAATTAGGGTCTAAAATCCCATATGGAATAGAATACAATAGAACGGCAAAATGATAAAGAGAACAAAACAGAAGAAAAGTGCTACATCACATGATAAAATATCATAGATTACAATAGAAAAGGAAAGGAACATAAACATCAGTTCACAAACTCCACATTTATCTTTAAACTATTCCATGCAGGGCTGAATATCTGTTATTATTGAGTAGTTTTAATGATAATTCATCTTCCTCACCGCCTTGAGTGACAGCTGATGTTCAGACTCATCATCATCATCCAACTCAACTTTGTGCTCTTTCTTATCTGCTTTCAGTGAGCAACCTACAGCAAGACGACAAAACTTGTGTTTTATTCAACAATGTTGTAAAAATGATGCAAACTTAAGGAAAGCCCCTCCTCAACGATCAACCACCCCACATAACACACAACATCCTTTAATTATACAGGCTGTAGACACGAGATCATAGCAAACGAAAGAGGAAAAGAAATACTCATAGTCCTCTTGTCCTTAATATATTTTAAATAATATTGAAAATAACATTTATTTGTATATACTATTAACTATACTATACTATTGCTATTAACAAAGGCATGTGGCTAGCTGCATTAGCCACAACTCTTTTATTACACTGCAATATTGCAGCAGACGCATGTACATGATATACTACATGATGGTATATTAATTCATCGCACATATATGATTATGCAACATGAGGGTTTATTTCAGCTCACCAAACAAATACATCTGAGGTCGGGTGATGTCTTTAATGTTATCCTCCATTTTTTGCGCCACAGAAGGTCCTGTTAATCGTAGTTCCGGCGTGTGATTGACAATTGAATGGACGAATGAGAGTGCTAAAGTGGGCGGGCTTTTGGGAGTATCATCCAATAGCATGCACCATTGGTGCTTTAGTAAACTGCCCTTTGTTTTCTTTTTCTTGCTTTCACAGTAGCCTACCTCATTTATCCGCCAGATGACGCCCTTTAATAAAAGATTGGGTATATTTGCCTCTGCGTTTTTTTCCCCACCTAAATATACCTGTTTTTTTTTGTATAATTAGTTAAATGTTGCTTTATGATTAGATGTATGATTTAATGCAATTTGACATCCATCCCAAACAATTAAAATAATGACACGTATTATTATTATGTATTGTTGTTGTTGTTGTTAAAATGATTGTCTTCCCAAACGTTCACCAAAACATAACAAATTGCTGCGTTGCTTAAAAATATATATATAGCCTATTTATATAAAATATATATATAATTTCCATGGGTAATATCAAGTCCCGGTGGGTTTCTCGTTGAGTTTCAAGCTAAGTTTCAAGTTTTGTTTATTTAGGCTTTATCACCATTAAAACAGCAACAGCTGACCAATGTGCTTTACAACAAATTGATTCGTAAAATTGATTCACTGTGTCGAATGCTTGAAACTCTCCACGCTGAGGACATCTGCTGGTTAAAGCGAAAATGCTACGAAAACAGCATTTGTTCAGTGAAGTTCTGTAAAATAATGGCTTGTAATCAATATCATCACACATAAACTGTCTATGTACGTTAACTATGCAGTAATTCATTATTTTATTGCACTTATTATGTAACACTTTAACAATTGGAATTTTAATTTTTAAAAATTCTACACAACTTTTTTAAGAACATAAATCATTAAACTGATTAGAGATCAGTTATTATATAAGCCGTAAGTTCCAATAAAGATACATTATATATAGCCTATAATTTAATCATCTGTGGCATTTATTTAGTTTACCAAGAAACTTGTAAACACTTTAACAAATGGAATTCTACACAATTTTTATGAACATAAATTATAAAACTGAACTGAGATCAGTACAGTGTTGGGTAAGTTACTCTAAAAAAAGTAATGAATTATAGCTACTAATTACATATTCAACCGTGTAATTAGATTACTGTACTAATTACTCTCTCTATAAACGGTATTAGATTAGGCTAATTATAATTACTTTCTAAATCCCATATCAGCCTCGTTAAAAACTGAACTTTTGATTCTTTCAAATAAACAATATACGGGACATTCTACCAGAAACGTGCATATGGCATACATTTTTCTTGAATTGACCAAAGTAATTAAAATGAGATTGTTAGGCTACATCAAAAGCATACATTTGAATCGTATTTTGATGTTAAATCTAACATCAAAATCACTATTGCTTTACAATTAGTCAGTCTATACAATATTTAATGCAATTACATCAGAAGTAATTGTAATTAGCTAAATTACAGAAAATATATAGGCTATATAGCTAGAGCTAGAGTAATCATTAGGCCTACTTTAGCTACTTTTTCAAGGAAAAAGTAGGCTAATTAAATTGCAGTAATTAGATTACTTATTACACCCAACATTGGTTACAACTATATCCTATATTAATTTTGGTTTCCAAGGAGGATGACGTAACGCTAAAATTATAGGCCTACTTCACTTGTTGAGTTTTAAAACGCGCTCCGATTCCGAAGCATTGATTCGAAAAATCAAAAGATTCGTAAAGTGTTCGAAGCTTCGTTTCGAACGCGCCAGGCTGAGCTGAGGCAACCGACGCCTCGTGTTTCACTAGGCCATGTCGCTCTTCGACTATTTATTAAACTCTTCAGAGGATTTATTTGATTTCCTATTCACAAGAACAAAGGTTTTTTTGCTTTGTTAGAGGTGACAGCCATAAAAAAAAGGACGAAGATAAAACCGCTTCCAGTTCCACCCTTCATGCAGGCGCTTGGTGAAAAGGCCATCTTGAAAGAAACCCGTTCAAAACAGGCAGCAGCACTTTAACGTGAGTGACCCGTATACACACACAGATATGCTGGTCTGACGACACACCCCAAAACACACATACGTGCCTGTCGGATCTCAGAGCTCTCTGTAGTCTCTGGGTCCTGCCAACACGTTCAATTCTTTCTCATAAATCCTTAAAAGGAGAGTTCAAATTTATAGTCATGTTTACATTTTCTTTTTAATTCAGGGTACCTTTTGAAATTAAATTGCATGGTGGATGTTCATTGTTTTTTAAGGGTCAGTGCTGAAATCTAGTAGATTTATTTATACATTTCTCTACTAGCCAGATTATCTAAAAATTTGCCCAAAAATGGGCCCATTAACCCAGTGTATCATATTTGATACATTAATTTCTATGGCGTTTAAATTATCAACATGGTAAAAGCTTTGCTGAAAATGTAAAAACTTGCACACAATCTAATATGCCTTCTGTCTTCTGATTGATAGTGTATACCTTTCTATAAAGTAAAAAGCCTTGTATAGACTCATTCTAAAAACATCCCGTTTCAGGTTGTGGTTCACATGTCTTTTTGCTGTTAAATCTTTACCGATTTTTATAAAGTAAACTTAACAATAACTTGTATGTTGTTAGTAATATTTCAGGATGAACATTTTCTGAACTGAAATAACTTAGGTTTACTTGATTGTATCTTCTTCTTCTTCATTTTTTTAATCATGTTAAAATGTATCTAATATGATAGATACATAACAGGATTTTGATTGATTTGTATAACTCTTAAAGGGCTAGTTCACCCCAAAAATGTAAATTCTGTCAGTAATTACTCACCCTCATGTTGTTCCAACCCCGTAAGGCTTTCGTTCATCTTCGGAACACAAATTAAGATATTTTTGATTAAATCTGAGAGCTGGATCACTCCTCCATAGGCTTCTTAAGGGATCGAAACTGGCCGGCCCAGAAAAGTTAAATACATCGCTAAAATAGTCCAAGTGACTACAGTGGCTCAATCTTAAGTTTATCAAGCGACGAGAATATTTTTGTGCGCAAAAAAACAAACAAAAAATAACGACTTTATTCAACTATTAATTTCCTTCTCTGTGGGCCTCGAGTTAGTTCATGTAGTGTTACTGCGCAGCGCTTCTGGGTTGTACGTCACACGTAGGCTCACTATTGGCCGACGCTGGTCATGTGTGTGATGCGTGTGACGTATAACACAGAAGCGCTGCGCAGTTAACAAAATGTGTATATAATAATACACTAATAATAACTAATAATATGTATAATAAAAAAAAAAATTCAGGCTATTATTTCATGCCAGACTTTAAAGGGTTAATAGGCCTGTCTTTCGTACTTTATTATAATGATGAGAAATTCAGTTCTTAGATATTTTCCCAACTTCTCACTTTCACGTGAATGTTTTTGCAGACCTGTATCGAGATGTAACCTATGAGATATTTAGATGTGTCAGTAACTGCAGGTATATCACTTGTTTGTGTGTGTTGCTTTCCTATGGTGATGCTTTTGACAACCCGACATTGTGTGAAAAAGCCTTTTTATGCTTTCATTAAATTGTATAGCGAGTGTCCCGTAGTATGTCATTCTTCGCCTGATAAAAAGAAATGTTGGCTTTTTTTAAATTCTTGAAGATTTGAGTGATTAGACACAGACATCACTTCATCTATATAAGATAAAAAATAACACATGTCAATACAGTCTATTTTCAGCACACCAAGATATACCAAGATACAGTTTCAAAATGTGTAAATACTGGCTGACATGTTAGTCTTCTGCTTATTATTACTTGCATTAGCTGCCAAATGAGATGTATGGATGTATGTTCGGTCCTTTGTTAGTCTTGTCATATCTTTAAGGACTGTGTTTATTCTTCTGGTTGTGTTTGGAAAATGCAGTTGGATCTTTGAACTGTTGGACATCTGATGTAATCTGAAAATGCAGACCTCTTATGAAGAAGTGGAGGCCATATAGGTCATATTGGTTTGTAGCGTCTGTGAGATAAACCGGAGCCTGTCTAGGAACAGTTAAGTGAGATAGGAAGTGTGATACTTTAACCTCTCGCTTCTCGCTCATCTTGTGTGGCAACATTTTATTGGATGAGGTGAGGGCCCTCAGGTAGATAGGGCAAAAAAAAAAACAAAAAAAAAACATAATGGCACATCAGGAGGAGAAAGAGAAGCTCAGAGCACCGGTGGCCAAACACAATAGAGATCTTTCAAAAACAGAGACCGAAAGGAATTTCAGCAAAATGAGCCAAGTCACGTCGCGGCGGCAGAATAGACAGGAAGATGAAAGCGGCTGGAAGACTGACAGAGGAAATGAGGGTAGAAGAGGCGTTACCGCGGCAACCGACTCACACTGACAGGATCTTAACCAGGCGAGATGGCATCAAACTTAGCTAAACAAAACAGGAGTGTGTGATGGATAAAACATTGGCCTTCTGCTTAGGGTACAGTCTGAAAAAAATGTAACCACTTGATAATTGAAGAGAATGAACAAAGGAAGGTTTGATCAATAGATTGCTTAATATATTGTACTTTACTTGAATTGTAATGAAATCTAGTTTTTTAAATATTTAGGGTTGTTAAGTTTTTTTTTTTTTTTTTTTTTTTATGATTTTGAAAGATGTCTCTCGCCAAGGTTGCTCGCCTTGGTTAGTAAAAACAGTAATATTGTGGTGATTGTATGCATTTAAAATATTTAAATATATTTTGAAATGTAATTTATTCCTGTGATCAAAGCTGAATTTTCAGCATCATCCAGACTCCAGTCTTCAGTGTCACATGATCCTTCAGAAATCATTCTAATATGCTGATTTGCTGCTCAAGAAACATTTATGATAATTATCAATGCTGAAAAATATTAATATTTTTGAAAAGAACTGATAAAGTTGTAAATGTACATGTACATGTTTGTGTAACCCGGTGGGGACGACCCGAATGCACAAAGACTCATGGGGACTCGTGTCACTGTGGGGACCTAAATTGAGGTCCCCATGAGGAAAACGGCTTATGAATCATACAGAATGAGTTTTTTTTTATTTATTTTTTTTATGTAAAAATGCAGAAAGTTTTCACTGATAGGTAGGTTTAGGGGTAGAGTTAATGTAAGGGAATAAAGTTTTTACTGTATAAAAACCATTACGTCTATTGAGAGTCCCCACAAAGATAGTAAACCAGGTGTGTGTGTGTGTGTGTGTGTGTGTGTGTGTGTGTGTGTGTGTGTGTGTGTGTGTGTGTGTGTGTGTGTGTGTGTGTGTGTGTGTGTGTGTGTGTTGACTGGTAAACCCTACATTGCAGGGATAAAATGTCCCCTCAAAGATGGCAATATCCTAAATCCTTGTCCTTGTGGATAAATCATTGTGATGCTTTTGGAAAATGTACAAATGTTTTTGTGGTTTGGGGTAGGTTTAATGTAAGATGATAGAATATACACTTTGTTTGTACAATATAAAAATCATTATGTCTATGGAAAGTCCCCACAAACATGAAAACAAGATGTGTGTGTACTTTATTTAAATGTCTTCCATAATTTCAGAAACATTAATGTTTAATTCACCTGCCTTAGAATTAAATTGGATCATGATTATGTGTAATGAATTTTAAAATGGACTAATCTCACAAGTCCAACAGTATTATTGTTGAAAGATGCAGTCAACTGCTGGCTCTTTCTGCTGTGGAGAGCCGTAATCGGTTTACTGCTTTAGCATTTCCTGGGAGATGCAGTCGTGTGTAGAACAGAATGTAAAGGCTCATTTACTGTGAATAAAACTGCTATGATTCCACGTCCCCTCCCCGTGTTACGTGTATATCACTCCTCTGTGGTAACCAATGGGATGGCCTGTTTTGACTGCTGTTTCGGCTCACAGAGATCGTATCAGTTGTTTACGCCCATACAGTGTCTGGGTGGACATGGGTGACGAGTGCTTTCAAAATACGTGTCAAGAACTTGTTTTTTGTATAAAACTGCACTCAATTATCGTTGATGAATAGTGATTTTTTGGACTAAAAATATGTAGTAAAATTAAAAGTGATCTGTGTAATTGTTTATCAATTTTAAAGGGATAGGTCACCCAAAAAGGACAATTCTGTCATTATTTACTCACCCTCATCTCGTTCCAAACCTGTAATTCTTTCGTTCATCTTCGGAACACAAATGAAAATCTTTCTGGTGAAATCTGAACGATTTCGGTCCTTCCGTCGATACGCAACTACAGCGTTTTAGTCCAAATTTTCTAAAGAGACTCAATCGCTATGTCTGATAAACAGATTGAATAGGCTATTCACAAATAAACATTGATCAACTCGCACATAAATTGTGGTAAACATCACTTGATGTGCGAGAACCAATGATGTTCATTCGTGTGTTACGCAGCACGTTTGAGCTCAGGGGTGGAAAGGATCTCGTACGGATCAGGCCCCACGGTTCAGCAGCACACGTGTGATTCAAAGATTAACTGCTAAATTTAACCATCATAGAGTGACCGTTTATAATTTGGACGTGTTTCGTCTTGCCAATTTACACATTCAAACTATTTTAAACGGAAAAAAACAGGCGAAAATCGGGACTTGCGCGTGATCCGTGTGCATAGCCGCACACACACAGAGAGAGAGACGCGCTCGAACAGCGCTCGAACACCGAATTGATTCCTCTTTCGCGTTTCCTTGTCCTTGAACGGACACATAAACAAAAAAATATGTCTAAATGCCCGTCTCGGCAAGTATTCTCTCGTTTATGTCATAAGTGAACAGTTATACAGTGAACAGTTTGAAAACTACTGGATGTTTGTCAGTTTTTTCAGTCCGTGCAGTCGGTCTTAAAGTGACAACACACACCTAATATTCCTACTGTTGTCTGTGTCATTAATATTAATAAAACCACAAAATACAGCTTTAACAAATATGAAACTATATTTAATTTCTACAGTGAACAGTGTTATTTTACATTTAGGCTTAATTATTCATTCTGTACCTGAAAACTAGCCTACTTTTAGACCTTGTAACTTTATTTAGTAGGCTATTCATCTCTGCTTGTAGTTTATTTGTTCTTATTTTATTACTGACTGTTCACTTGTTTTAAATAATGTGTGAACTTTATCAGTTAGGCTAGTAGTAGTAGCTACCAAAGAACTTCAAGTGAGCTTTAAGTAATAAATGAAAAGCAGAGTTACCCCCCCCCCCCCCCCCCCAAATATATATATTTATTTATTTATTTTTGGCTCATCTTAAAAATTATCCGATCCATAGCTCAAAAACCGTAAATGATCCGAACTGGAATTTTGTGATCCGTTCCACCACTAGCTTCCACAAGAACCAATGAGGTTTATTCTCGTCAAACAGGTTCGGCTGAGCTTCTGTTTATGTTTGCTGATCAATGTTTAAATGTGAATAAAAGCCTAAATTAAATCTGTTCTTCAGCGATCGTGTCTCTTCAGAAAATTTGGACTAAACCGCTCAATATGGATTAGTTTTACAATCTCTTTATGAACTTTTTGAAGTGTCAAAGTGGTAGTTGCGTATGTCAGTGGAGGGACAGAAAGCTCTCAGATTTCATTCAAAAGATATTTGTGTTTTGAAGATGAAACGACAGAATTAATGACAGAACTTAATGACAAAAATGACACGCTTTCACCTTGGAGATTATTCTAAAATAATTTCACAGAGGAGGAAAACGAATAGTCTTAGAAGTCACGATTCTTTTTAATATAAAACACCTTTAAACGTCACGTCATGAAGAATCCAGAGAGAGCGCCTCCATAATTGCTTCCAAAGTGCGTTTTAGGAAGGACTCCAGCTTAAAAGAACTAACAGTTTTTAGTCCATCTCTTCATACAAGAAATGTAGAGAACATGCATCACAAACACATCTTACAAAGTCCAAAGGGGGAAAAAAACACAAATAAAAAGAACAAGAATGAACGAGTCTGGGGTTGAGTCAGTCTCCTTGATGCCAAACGGCACGTAGACAGCCGTCTTGATGGGTGTAATTCATCAGACAGCTTTGCGGTTTTGGGTTGGAAAGGACATAGCCCGGCCCCTTTCTTAGATGGGTAGCTGAAGAAAGAGGAACGAGAATGTAGCATAAGGGTGGAGCAAATGACCAGTCAGATTCAGGTGGGAATGAAAATGTAAACTGGGTGTGCTTGTGCTTGTTTGGTTTCCACTTTAACTGGGAATACATTAGGGATTTTGCTCCACGCCAAGACTTAAATATACACATTTATGAAAAATGTTTGAGTGATAAACAAACAAATACACAAAAAATACGGTTTAATCTGTTTTCTGAAATTGCTCTAGCGATTTTTATCTCAGGCTCAAAGCTGATCCTGTCAAAAATCATTGAAATTGAATCAATTATTTCCATGTGTGATTGGAAAATACGTTTTTACAGAGCAAGATGGCGTCGTGCAGATTCTCGTGAGTCCAAGTGAGAATGTGAGAGATCCGCCCAAATTAAGGTCTAATTGGTGTCCTACAATGTACTATAAAATCCTTTCTCAATTAACTAGCACACATGAGAGCTGTGGGTCAGACCACAGATGCGACTGAGGTGACGGACGTCACCTTGTTGTCATCGGCCCACGGCTGTAAGTTCTGCAGGGCGTAAAGCGAGGAGTTGTGTAGGCAGAGAGGGTCTTGTTGGAGCGGTTGACTCAGGGTCTTCTGAAAGGCCTCCTGTTGGAGCTGTAGCATCAGACGGTTGGCTTGCTGTCGCTCAGCCTCTCTCTCCTCAGCGGTCTGCCTCCTGTCATCAGAGACGCATGATTGAAGTCAACATGATGTGCAGTGACAGAGCCCCTTTTCAAATACAAAAGTGGATTATGTCAACTAACATGTTTATCTATAGTGCAGGTCCTAGGCTGGTTTTAATTACCTTGAGAGATCTGAGATCTCCGCATACACAAAAGAGATGTCATGCCTTTTGTGAAAAATAACAATATGTGCGTTATGACTAAAGTCCTTTTGAATGAAACATGTGAATGTTAATGGTACTGTACATTTAATAATGCCTTGAATGTACACACGAGGAGCCTATTGGAGCTGTCAGCATAACAGATGTGAATATTATTATATGTGTCAAAACAATGAATAAATCCTATTTTATTGGTCCGGGGACCTGATATACTTTGAACATCATTAATCTTTTTACCAGCTGCATTCATTTAAAGGGATTGCGCACTTGTTAATCGCCCTCGTGTCGTTTCACACTGCTTCTAAAACTATGAAGAAAGAAAGTCATACAGGTTTGGAACAACATGAGGGTGAATAAATAAAAAGAATTTACATTTTGGACCATCCCTTTAACATAAAATTCACTGAAAATGTATTTAATTTGAATATATAAAAGTAGATTTGTTTACTCCCTATAGAACCCTTCAATTTTAAAGAACCCTTTATAACAAAACTGTTCTATATAAGGAGAAATGTCTTAAATTATTGCATAATACGTTCACGTTTACAGGTTCTTTCACATTTTTTCTAGTGATAAATGTGTTTACACACTTCTTAATTCATAAAATGTAATAAAATTAAAAACGAATTAAAACTAAATCCATTAAATGATGGAAAATTTTCCAACATATTTCTTGAGACACTTATTAATGCATATATATTTAAATATTTCTTAAAACTAAGTTATACAAGTACCATATGCCATATTTGAATATTTGATCACATTTAAGATGATAAATGGTTCAAGTGTGATCACTTACAGCATGGAAAATGGAAAGAAAAACAGCTAAAAACAAATGAGTGCTGCATTTCCCATCAGGTTTTCCGGTTTTGTCGTGATATTCGACTAGACACTTTGAGGATGAAGGATGTATTTGTGTGTCGATTGTACGCGTAACAAGCCTGTGATCAAATGAGCCAAGTGCAATCTCATTACAGTGATGCATTTAGCTGCATGTGACGTGTGGCTAATGGACGGCGGGCGGCAGGTATAGCAACGATTTAGACCCTCATGGTGGACAGATTTGGTCATGGAAGATGAGGTATTTAGACTGTATGATTGTCATAGAGGCCTCTCTGAAATCTGAATTCATTTTGAGATCAAATGTTTGCAGTGTTGCTAAATTCAATTGATATTCGGGTTTGGTGATCCATAAGATTTACCAGAATTTCATTCCTATAGAGAGGCACTGCAAATTCAACAGTGCAGAGAAGGGACCAGGCTAATGAATGTTTCCCAGCAGCTTTCATCAGATACACATACATAATTGTTGAATTAAGTTGAGCTCCATAAATATTGATGAGTAGGCTGAAACAACCATAATACATTTTTATTTGTGAAAGGCCATGACTCAGCTTCATTATAAATAAATCACGTTCAGCCAGCTCTTGTCTGCCTATTGCCTGTTGGTAAAACCAAAGGTAAGTAAGCCTGCTCTTAATTAGATTGGGCACTTATTTGCTCCAAAAGAGCCAACAGCAAAAGCTTGAGTAGATTATGGGGAAAGGATGGACATGCTCTCAATTATTCAGAAGTAGGTTCTGTACTGCATGGACAGCAAGTTTCCACAGAGCCTTTTAAGAGCTTCAACGTTTCTGCTTGGTCAAGGCAAATGGTGTCCAATGGAAAATAAATAAACAAATAAAAATGCAAACCTCTGCAGATTCAAAGTATTTTCCAAAAGCCCCCTTCACTTAAGCTAATTTCTGACTAAATTATAGCTGTTATTGGGAAATATATCTAATCATGTTTGCCAAGTGTGTGTGTGTGTGTGTGTGTGCATATATATATATATATATATATATATATAAGTTATGTTATGAACACAATAGGACTAACTAATGAATACAAATAAAGGCATTCTATAGCACAAAAACATTAGAAAAAAATAATGCAATTTTCAAAATAATGCAAAAAAGTTTTCATTTCTAATAGAAGGACATTTGTGCATAAATTCGTGCGGCAATCAAGTTTAGTTAAAAATAAATAGGATCGCAAATAATATTGAAAGAAATAAAATGTCACCAGAAAGTTATTGTTTGTGCTCATTTCTAATTGGTGAAAGTGCTGGTGTTACATATATTCTTGGCAAGGTATTAGTGTATCTTCTTTCTGTTATTAAAACCACATTTTGACTGATTTGGGATTGGACAAAACAAGGCATTTAAAATCGTATATTTTCACTCACCTCCATTTTGTTCTTCTGTTCTGGAACCAGGTTTTGACCTGAGCGTCTGTCATCTTCAAGGCCTTGGCGAGCGTGGCGCGCTCCGCGGACGCCAGATACTTCTGCCGGTGGAAGCGCTTCTCCAGCTCGCAGATCTGCACGCGGCTGAACGACGTGCGCGGCTTTTTCCTCTTCGGCGGAGTTCGGTTCTGGTACGGGTGACCGATCCGGCGCGTCACGGAGAACGGTGAAAGAGCTGCTGAAAAAAAACAGGAATTGGGCGTGAGTAGGCTAAAGGTGAAAAATGTTTGCATTCGTTAACACTTTCAGTAAGCCAAATAATAGTCACGCAGAACCATTAAATAATGCTTATGTAGAATTGCATAGCCTAAGCTAATTGTAATGTCATGAAAATAATTGTATCCTATAATAATATTTTAATTTCTGAAAATTACGTTTGATAACTTGAAAATGATAGGTATAGCCTATAAAGTGTTCCCTTGTTTTGTAAAAGCCAATTTTCAAAGTTTTAATTCTAAATGTATTTATTGTATCTTTTTTGAAGTCTTCAGCTATACCGTCATGACAGTGCAATAAAGCCATGATCAGTATGGCAGAATTAAACACTGGGTCTTATATCGCCTATCATATTCTGAAATATGTAGGCCTAGGCCTATTTACCGTAATTTGGTTGAAAGATGAAGATATAAATGAACGTCAAAATGAGTCATTCAACATTCTTAACGAGGTTCTAAACTAAACGTAGGCTATACAGTTTTTAATGTGATTTCTATTTGTGACTCGTTTTCCTGAACTGAACTGAGCGTTCGATCGGCGTTCCGTTGCTATGGTTACCTCTGAACGCGACTGTTTTTAAACTTCAGCACATGGACAATTATATTTCAGGTTTATATGACATAAATTGCTTGCAGCAGCAGTAGTGAACTCAGGTTCATTTCTCATTCACTCCTTCTGTATTATGCATTATTCATGGTTTTACAACAGAGGTCTTAATGTTAGTTGTGGAATCAGCTGTGAATAAGTGATATAAACACCTTGAAAGAAACATGTTTCCTAAATGCGAGCCCACCTTGACTTCTGTTACCTTTTATAAAAATATGAGGATTATATCAACTATATATATATATATATATATAAGAAACAGTGTTTTGGTGTCCTTATTTGGACCGTAAAATGATTCCCAGACATGGTGAGACCTTTCCATTAAAGGGTAACAAATTGGAACCCAGTCAAGGAGTCAAACCTATAATGTTTTGCTTGTTCAGAACAGTGTTCTCCCGATGTGTTAGCTGGATAGTGTGTGTGTACCTGAATGAAACAAACGAGGAAACTGCATAAATAAATGACAGGTCATGCAGTGTGCACATTCTGCACAATGACATTAATTCACTCATTTCAAACAGCAAATGGATGATGACACTCCCTCTCTTATGCTACATAAGCAGTGTGTGTGGCAAACGGTCATCGCCATTTGATGAATACAAACAAGGATGGAACCACATATTTAGAAATAAGGTATAGACCAAATGTCATATAAGAATCAACCATGGAAAAGCCCATATTATCAACCACTAATATGAATTTTGTCCCTCACATATCTGTATATGGAGGTTACACCCCTGAATATAAATGTATTTACATTACATTATCATTGTTAATATAATATAATATTATTTCATGTAACTAATGTATTATTATTAAATCAACTGTGTGTGTGTGTGTGCGCATGTGTGTGCGTGCGCGTGCCGTGCATGTGTATATATATATATATATATATATATATATACGCACATGCAGTATGTATATTATTCTTACATTTAGACATGTCCCATACAGGTAATTCCTGTATTGGAAAAAAATCTGTCTGTTTGATTCCGTGTTGCAATGGAATCCCAAATTAATATGTAACATCTAAGAAAATGTTGCATGGACAGAGTGGTGTATAAATCTGTGAAAAGAAAACATAAAAGAGATTAAACTCTTCACTGGATAATTATTTCATTTATTTAATCTAAATAAAAGGGGAAAAAAATGAAATGAAGGAATTGGACTATGACAAATAAATGGAGCGTAAAGCCCTGTTTTTGAGTAAACCAAGCGAGTGACCTTTGACCAAGGTGTTCTGTGATCCTTGTGGCTGAACTTGGGTCTTGCAATGGTTGGCTGGCCATGTGTGAAGACAGAGAGAGTGTTTCTGTTTGGCCTATAATACCATGTTCGAGATCTGTAAATGTCAACTCCTCAACCACATTCATTCACGTTCTTGTGGAATTGAAGATTCACTGCTGCTCTCAGAAGAACTTCTCAACAGTTCACACACTAGTCACGCTGGGATTCCTGACACGAGGTCAGGCTGACATTGAATCTGTTTTGGTCCAGCTTCATTTTATTCGAGTAACTGATAAAAAAAAATATGAAAAAAAAGTGTCATAATTTTATTTATTTCGATATTTTATTTTGATCAGAACATTCCTAATAACCAGATCATTAGTTTATTTGTCATATTTTATTAGACAAGCTAGTAAAAAGACTTCTGATTGGATTAAGCTCATAGACTCTTCATTCCTGTGCGTAATTGGATTTGATTGCTTTTAATTAAAGCGCTGATCTTTTGAGTGACAGGCGGCACGCGTCATCATCAATTACGCACACGGATAATATTCAGTCTGATCCTAGAGCGTTTGACATCAAAATTATGAAGATAAATTAATAAGATTATTTGATTCTATTTTTATATGTCTCCGTGCGTGGCTATGTGTTTAGTTTAGTTTTTTCTGTCGATGTCACAGCTTTTACTTGATCGGTGTTATTTTTTCTTTTCGACTATATGTCAGGTGTGCAGATTGCAGAACAAAACTAATAATAAATTTCCCAGAAACACGCCTCCGCAAATACATATGTGGGTCAAATGGAAACAAAAACAATCCCCGTATTCACTCTCGACAGCAGAGGGAATTCTAAATGATAAGTCTGTGTAATAAAATTTATGGTGAGCACATCAAAAAATCAAAGCTTGCCTTAGAGAATATGCGGCCAGTAATAAAATCAGTTATACGTGATATCACCTTCATGCGACAGCGCCTGCCTTTCCCATTGCGAATATTACCTTTGTAGAAATCTAATAAATATACATGTAATGGATTCAAAGCGCGATATTGAAATATAACATGGGCATTTGTCGCTATTTACGCGCAGTGAGGCAAAACAGAATGTGCCTTTAAATTTCCCCTCATGCTGGGAATTGAAATATCGAATAAAATAGAATAATTGTCAGGAAAAGCCATAAACCGTCCGCTCGAGAGCCTCGTCGTCCCTTCAGACACTGTCACCATGGCTACACGGCCTCGTCTCCGTTTCATAATCATTTGTATTTATGGGTGGGAAAGATCATTATTGTCATTTCAGATTGAGGGGCATCCACATGCAATTTCATTTTGCAATTTCTCCAAGGCCAGTGATATCAGATTACGACCATCACCTGCCCCATGTTGTGATGCAGCTGGACCCAATAGCCCCCACCAGCGGTAACACAAATAAATTTACCTACTGATGAATATACTGTTATGTGAATCAGTCCAAGTGGCTGCGTGCAGTGCCTTTTCAGATCACGCGCGGAAACGAATACAGGCATTACACAGAAGTTTGAATTATAGGATACGTTCGTTTTTCTTGTGTCAGTGTCAGTAAACATTCTGGCATTGTGTATATTTGAAAATGGTCTATTACAGCAGTCATTTTGCTTACAGAGTTGTATATAGCTCTTCGCACGTCGTAGTTGTCACCAGTGCTGTTAACAGGAACAGAAAAGCCGTGCGTAAAGGCCGCGCGCCGTTACCATCGTCAGAGCACCTGTGTTTATTGACTTGAGAGCGACTGATCTGTTTATGCATTTCTGGATTTTTATAAACTTGCAAACTGCCAAGGAGTCAATTAACAAAAGAACATGTGGTATAGCCTTTCATCGCCTCCCAATTCGGCATGATATGTCCGGCCTGCAGTGCATATCGAGTCTCAGGCCTGTCCGTGCACCTATACGCGCCGTGACACTTGTGGTGAAATGCAGACATGCAATTCAAGCTGACGGTGAAAATAACTGGAAAAAGAGAAACCTATTCCAGACAATCATCGTGACTTTACAACAAGGCCTATGCGCATTGTGACGAAGTGGCTCTGGTTTGTTTGGATGAATTAATTGCAATGTTAAAACTAATATTATATAGACATTATCTTATAATGTTGGTATAATTTAGTCTTGAAAATGAAAAGACAGCATTCAAGGTGTAGACGCAAATTCTGTGATTTTTATTTTATTTTATGGTTTCAGCAAACAGAAATTATTTTGTATTTATATGTATAAAGATATGAATGTGTTTTTCACATCATCTAATGTTTATATAGCTATACTTATATATACTGTACATTTAATTTCTTTAAAAAAACTGAAATAGGCCATGCGTTATTTCTATATCCAGCACAATTCAAAGGCACGGAAGATATTAAATATAATAAACGAGTGGCCCAAAGTGACTATGAGTAAAATTGATAAGCATATTTACAAAAGAGCATTTGCACTTGACATATCATTCTCTCATTTGAATAATTAATGAGAATAGAGCGGAATTCTGAATATTTAATGCGCAGAAATCCATATTCTTCTTCTTTTTCGTCTGACTATGAGTGACGTCATTTGAAGACGCGAACTGACCAAATGGAAAACGGAGGAGGATGTTACGGCTACACACGAGACAACCAACGTCACGCATGGCCTATATTTTCTTATTATTTATTATCTGGAATTTGCTTAATCAAAATATAGCTACATTTAAAAAAAAGATATGTAAATAAATAGATGAATAAATCTCAATAATAGGCCTACGCAAATATTAATCTAATAATAATAAAATATCGTTTCATTTTCTGTAATCATACACAGGCTAGGCTATTCTTCAGAAACGCATGATTTTTTTCCCGTCCCACTTGGAAATGTTATCCAAAATCGTCCTCTGTTGGATCTCTATTGGTATTATGTTTGCGTAGATTAAAACGATTTGTCAACATGCCATTACGCATTACTACTGGCTGTGACATACTGGCAACATTTAGCTCCCTGCAACCACAGGATCATCATTCATTTGTCCTAATGGCCCAGAGAGACAGTAGCTCAAGAATATAGACGTGACGGTGTCATAAAACCATTCCACAAGAAATTGTGATTTTGAAAGCCACTGTGTTTTTATGAGCAATACACACGTATAATATCTACAGGCCGAGGTGATGCTGGTGCAACAGCATGTGCTGTCTGAAATAAAACTGAATTATTGTGAGCGTACTGGTTTAAAAGATTGTCTAGTGTTACTGCTCCGTGTTCAGATGTGTCTATAAAAAGCTATAGTGAAGGGTTTAGAGCATTTCCCATATTAATTCAAGCGCGATGCAGAATGTGACACCTCAAGTGTTTTAGCGAGAAAAAAGAAACGGGTAAAACTACCACACTTAATAATGGCAACAGAATTAATCTTCTAGACTAAAGTTAGAAGGCATTTATTTGAAATTGAAATTAATTTGGCTCCAGAAAAATAATCTTGAAAATGATGTTAGGCTGAAATATTATATTTCTGCATATAGAATTATTTTATATGCAAATATATGTTATTGTATGGGAACGTGAATATTACATTTTAATGGTTAAAGATCGTAATGCATTGAAATATGTCTTTAACAAACGGCAGAGTCAAAGAAAATATATCATGGAAATGTGGGCCTGAAAATAGGCTTTTAGCTTTGAATTTCTGCTGTGATGTTTTAAATGTATTTCTTACACTAATAATATTTTTTATTCTTGTAATCTTGAGATTTACTCTTCTATTTTAAAAGGAGCAGTGCAATACTATAGGCCATATAAGGAATTTTAATAATAAAATACCGTAGCGTTTTTTTAAGTCTGTGTGTTTGATGAATTTCGGTATGAAATATATTCTGCTATTAATTGTAATGCCGCTTTTTTTACGACAACATTTTTATTATTAATATGAATTTATGGGAACTCATTGGAAAATCGGCATGCAGCAATTTAAGTTTAATCAGCAACTATATATTTTTTTCTCTCTCTCTCTCTTGATATAAAATACGTTCATTCATAAAATTTTCTCATTGTAGCAGATAACATCGACATTAAAAGTTGATGCAATAAATGAATTGTCGATGTTGGTCATAATTAGTCTATAGCTTGCTTTCTAACATAAGCGGCGCTGTAAATATAATCAAGTCTTACCGGTAAGCCGATCTTTCGCAAACCTTCTGCTGCTCTCCATCCAGGGGAACGAGAAGCTGGCGGGACTGCCCATGCTGGGTATCGTGGGCATGGTGGGCATCCCCGCCGCGATGCCCGGTGGATGGGCTGTTGTCGGTGGGTGATGTGCCGGTGGCATGGGTCTGTGGGCCGGGACGCGGATGACACCGCCTGCATTCCCTGAGTTCACGTTAACGTTCATATTCATGCTCACATTCATGTTCATGTTTACATTGTAGTGACCTGCCAGTCCGGCCGCCATCGAACAGGCCGGGTTGTACACGCTGTTGTAGCCGTTGGCGTAGACGTTCGGCGCGAGCGCATAGTCCGGGTCGCCGGTCCGGCTCGGAAGCATGCAACTACTCGGCTGATCGGAACCATTGAGAATCTGATCTATTCCAAAACTGATGGGTTCGTGCTGCTGGTGGGTCTGGTTCACCTCTTCGATTCCCGTGTGCTCCATCGTCGTGGTTCTGTCTTTTACTCACTCACAGCTTGGAGGGTTGAGATGTTTAATTCCTAAAACTTCAACGCAATACGGTTTATTCCCAGACGTATATAATTTTATTTTTTTGTTTAAAAAAAACCAACAACAACAAAAACAAATATTCTTCCTTGAAGTGCTCAGAGCTCGTGCAATTTATATCGCTGCCATTTGATGCACAAAAACTGTGAAGATCAGAAATCACTTCGACTCCTTCACGATTAAATCAACGTTATCCAAAACTTTCTTGCATTGCGTTTGGCTTTTTATCAGTTCCATGATGATGCCTCAAACAGCAACTCGCCAGTAGAAAGGGCTCCGCGCTCACTGTTAAATCCCGGAGTGACGAGTTGCCAAGTTGTAGCAGACAGAACGACGCGTTTCTGGAGTGGTGCTGTACCTCAGAAAGGCGCGCGGCCCAGACTTGAGCTCATCACTGTTATCTAAAGTGAAGTGTTAACTGTCCGATACGTGCGTATTAATTGTCGTGAGCTGAAAATGTCCTGTTCACGCTCCTCTTGAAGTGATTTCGAGCAGGTGAGACAAACCCCTTCTGCCCAAACTCTGTCACGCGCGTCTCCATTGGCTCTCGCGCACTTCTATAAAGAGACAATGCCTCGCGCCCGCACCCCTCTCTTAAAGAAGCCGCTTCTATTTTTTTTCCTTAACCGTGGCTGTTGTTTTAAAGCTCGCGTTTAAAAATAAAATGTTTGATGTTCCTAGAAAATATGAGCAGGGTAGCAGAATTATTAAAAAGCGTTGACGTAAGTAGTTTGGCATAATCTTATAGGCTATTATTGTTTCTTTCACAAAATTAAGCAGTGAAGTGATTTTGTTTTGATATTATCAATATTTGGTCTGCCAAATTAAAGTCAGTGTGCTGTAACCAACTTGCAGGAAGCCATTTTGTTGTCATGTGACAAGAAAAACATTTAACAGATAACTCTAGATCTGACTGTGGGCCACCAAGGTCATTTTTCAACAATATCATATTTTGACCTTTATTTATGAAAAGTCCAATTCAAATTGAGTAACCTTAAACGTATCGATAATCATTATATTTGTTTCAGTGTTTTTATTCATAATTTTTAAAGGTGCAATTTATTTTGCCTTAATTGCTTTCACTTTTTGTTCTGGATGATTAGCCTACTTTTAGATCATTTGTCATTACTAGATTATTACTTTTAGATCATTTGTCATTACATCAACATTTATAGAATATAAATAGAGGTTTCGACAACGATTACAACTTGTGGTTTAAACTATGTTTTGAAAAAGATTTGAAATTTTTATCTTTTTTTGCCTTTGACTCTTGTAAAAAGGTGGATTTTGCAGGAAAATTCTATTGACATGGTTGGGCTATATTAGAATAATAACAGTAAAAATGAAGCCTGCTTTTTATTAATGTTGTGAAAGATAAAAAATAACTTGCAAACCACAGGCTTGATGCTGTTAATTATCCCATCCAATAAAGGCCAAAATGTTTAGTTCAATTGTGAAAAGAGCTCTTCGGGTTTTGTCAAGGGTACAGAAACATGCAGCTACACATGGCAATGCGTTTGCTTAATCAAATAAAAGTGAATTTCATTGAAGTGCACTGTAGCCTTTGGGTGCGTAAAATAAAGGCTGGAGCCAGAGAAGCATCAGTTGCCTTTAGTGATGCAGAAGCCGCTGTGATTGGCGCAAATAATTTAACCTTTTTCTGCCTGAAGCTACAGTGGAAGATTCTCCGCTTTCAATTCAATAAAAATGAAAAATGGCGCATAATAAAACCTGAAAGCAAGGAAAACGAATTTAATATATCATCGTTTTATTACGTACTTATTTCAGCTTTCGCACGAATAAAAATATTTCTCCACAGCACAAAGTGGCTAGAGGGAAGCATAAAAATCAATTTTCTGAATACAAAGCTGTATCAATAAGAAGCGCTCTTCGTGTGTGTGTGTGTGTGTGTGTGTGTGTGTGTGTGTGTGTGTGTGTCAATAGCAGGAAAACATGTTGTTGGTTCTCAGTGATGTCGAATAAAGCATCCCGGAGTCGTGGCTTTTAACTGCACGAGGTCGTGTTGTGCAACAAAAACATAGTATCACAATGTGAGTTGGTTCTCTTTAAAGTTTGTCATATTTCTGCCATCATAATCGTTTGCTTTCAGTTTGAGAGCATCACGGTTTTAAAGGCCCATATGGCGTCATAAGCTCCATCTTCATCACGAAGCAGTTAAGAAATAAAGCTCAATCATAATTAACAATCATGATTAAATATTAGTTCCTGGTTTTCATTTCCATGATTTGGCCCTAATGCCATTGTGTGCTCTATATACACGTATGCAATAGTAGATCTAATTTCTTGCACATTCATATTCCTGCAGCACTTATTTTCCCTAAGATTGCTTTATTTTAACCACAGTTATTATCGGACTAAATGAACTGTGCTGGAAATGTTTTAATTGCGTTTCTCTCTTGCTGTTATTGAGTTGAATTAAATTCCAGAAGCAAACGCTTCCCCGCGTTCTCGAGTTGTTTTCGTCAGCAGTGAATGTTAAACACAATTACATTTTCGCGCGGAGGCAAAATATTATCTAATGGTTACTAATTGCTTTAAGTTGTAATTATTTTTAACACTAAGAAGCTCTCGAATTATTGAACCTGACAAACCGCGCCTACCCAACTCTTGTTTCATTTCATTAGGTGCAATGGAGTGTTTATTCTAAAATCCATCCAATTAATGTCCTGTTAAAACATTGCAATGTATAAATCAAGACTGAAAACGCTATTTTCAGATCTGAAAATCTGAAATGCATGCATAATTTGAAAGCAAATCAGAACCGTACTTTTCAAAAATTAGTTCTGCCAGTGATTTTCAGGGCTCAACCAAAAAATAACCCCCAAAAAAAATTGGAAATTTTTCTTGTTTTGTGATGTGAAAATAATATCTGATGCTAGGCCTACTTCTGCCAGTGTCTGATAGCTAATAACGAGCAGCTGTTGCCATGGTTACCTTCGCAAGCGAAGGCGATTTCTGTTCGCGAGCGCATTTTGCGCACTCTAACTTCTGTGGATACTGAAATGTTTGTACGTAAAACGAATGCATATTTAAACACCCCCTAACCCTTTAATTTCGACCTAATTTGGTTCATGCCCGAAGCCTTTCTAAAGCGGCCTTCTTACCGGTGCAAGCCTAATATAAAGCCCTTATAGCTGGTTGCCCGTAGGCGATATCTTGGCAAGGATGTTGAGGGTATATAGGGGTCGTTGATAAATCGGAATCTCCAGGCGATGCTGATAATAAAGTATAAAGACAAAGCGAAGACAAAAAGAATTTGTCACAGTCCGCCTTTCAACAGATTCGGTGACCCGCCGCCCTCCCGGGTGTATAACCTGTTTCAGGGCGCTTTTGGAGATTTGCAAACAACTGTGATAGTGTTTGCTCAATATGGTGCCACGGGGATTGGAAGGCGATACCAAGCAGCACAGCTCATGACAAATGGCGATTGCAACGCTACATAAAGAATGAGATGAGTCAGTAGCAAAATAGGCTAGTTACTCCGAGCCTCTTTATTTACACGAGCTGTCAATCTAAGCAAATTCACGTCGATTTTTTTAATAGTGAGAAACAATCAAACAAAAACAACATAACAAACAGCCATTAAAATGTATTGCCAGAACACCTGCCGACATGTTCAATATGAACCCGGCACGTGGGTTTGTAAGGAAAATCCCACCCATCACAGCTGCATCCATCTATAGATTATGAGGATTGACTGTGCACTGCATCTGTTTTTCACTTTAAATGCAAGACGATCTTTTACATTGTAACTGCTACTGTTGCAGATGTGCATTAAATACAGCTGCTATTGCGGAACAAACCACTAATAATAAATTGTAACACTTTATTTTACAGTGTCATTATTACATATGTTACATGTACTATAGTTATAACTATAAATGATGCATCATTACATGCAACTAAACCCCAAACCAAACCCTAATCCTAACCTTGTATAGTTATTTTATATTACCAGTAGCCTATGTAATTACAGTGTATGACTCCTTAAAATAAGTGTAACCTAATAAAGTATAAATATAATACTGTGCTTTTATATGATTAGTAGTAGACTATAATTAGCCTATATTTCTTTATTTTATTCTCTTCAATCTTCTTGATCTATATGTTAGAAGCTTCAAAAGAGACTTCAGCCTGGTGTGTTTCAGCAGACAAATGGCGCAACAGCTCTGGCTGATCCCTGCGCCTCTTAGTGTCAGTACATCCTTTTACCTTCAGCATTTCCTCGTGTGCATTTTGGCCTCGTGCCCCTCAAATGCATGTGTGTGTTTGTGTGTCCGCGTGCGCGCGCGTGTGTGTGCGCGCCGATGAGCCTGTCAAAGAGAGGATTCGCATCCATTGCACCATTCTCCATCCCTCCCATGACTGTTGTGCTTTCTGCTGTAATTAGGTTGAATTCAGAGCAGATTGAATTACGTTATTCTGCATCTCGAGCTGCAGTCCTTGACTGTCTCTCTCCCCCGGGAGAACCTGGCGCCTGCTTGCCCGATCAGACGGCTTCAACTGGACGGACCGCCAAAAGAGCGCACCGGGATCTCCGATACGTCATCTGGTAATGTGGGCTAAATGAGAGGTGTGAGGGCAGGGGAGACGGGATAACATCGCAAGGTCTTGTGTGACCTGGAACAGATAAAGTGTTGGAATAATGAATTGTTTTATTCACTTTGTCGATATGAATTTTGCGCGCAGAGGGCGTTTGGGAGAAATAGGGATGGTAAAGGAAGACAAATCATTGTGTTTCCTTTTTGGATGTATAGTTTAATTCGAGCTTTATTTTTTAGTTTATTGTTATTATTATTGAATGAATGAGATGAGAGAAAAAAATATTAAAACGCATGGTATCAATTTTTTTTCTTTTCTTTTTTTTTGTATGCAGGCATACGTTTGTTATATATTTGAAATTATGTAACCTATTCTTTTACTTAACTATCGGAATTTGCATTTTTATCTTATTTGAGTAAAAATATTTTAACTCAAGGTTTTCAATCTATTCGATGTAACTAATTTAGGCAAGATATATGTATGTCAATAATCTGACACGCAGTGTTTCTAAATAAATAAATAAACAATTGTAAAACGGATGACTTTTTTTCCCCCTCTTGTTTTCTCATTATTCTGTATTTTCTTACACCATTTCAGGAAATTTCTGGCAGTACATGTATTGATCCAAGCACAGGTCGTAAACAAACGAAAATACGACTTACTAAAATATATTTATTTGTGTAATTATTTGTGTGTATATTGATATAATAATGAATTAAATTAATTGTCCTCATATGTGATCTTTCACTGGAATTGCCATGTTTGCAAAGACATGAATTGTTTTCGGCATATTCGAAGGTGCCTTGTATTTAATAGTTTAAATCAAGTGTTATGTCTTCATAGATTACAGATTATTAGTAATTGAGGAAGACCCCCTATTTCGTTTTTTTTATTTATTTATTTTTTATTATGAAAATGTTGAAATGTTAGGAAATTTCCATTTAACGGTGATGTACCATGTTGGTTAATTTTTGCCATTTATAGGCCTATATGTGCATTTAACATGAAACCAAAGTTTAATAAGGGCATTA